TGAGGTATTTTATTTATTATGTGGAGATTATATCTACTAAATTAAATAATAATTTTATTGATTTAAGACGATTCTAAATGACAATATATGTGGAACGAAGAGAATATTTAATTGTTGAAAAAAATATATTTGAAAATACAAGCAAACAAATACTATTAGATATGGGCATTTGTGACAATATTAAACCACGCCAAACATCTGTTAGTATTATACGTTGAGTATTGTGAAGAATGACTAAAAATCAATTTTACATTCAAAACATCATATCAATACCTATTTATATCACATCATACAGTTATTCAAATTCAAAATTTTTACTATTCAAATCCCAACTCAAAATCCAAACACCCAAACAAACACACCCTTAGTGTGTTATTGGCATAAATTAGATATAGATCTAGAGTTTTAACTATAATATAATTTTCATATTTACATGAGTTTTATATTGTTATTCTTTCTTTCATAATGATATTTTTGTCGAAAAAAAATATAAATTTTTAATATATATATAATATGTATTTATTGATATATATATATATAATAATTTTGAGTGAATTCTACATATAATATACTATTATAAATTTAATTAAGTCGATTTATATTTATTGAATATATTTATATACATATAGTTTACTAAACATAAAAATATATCAAGTGTGATAATAGAAACTAAAATAAAAATGTATCAATTGTTATAAAACATTTGAAAAATATATCATACTTTTAATTTTATAAATAAAAAGACCATCATTTTAATTGCTTAAAAAAAAAATTATATGTTAAAATATTTTACTTTTAAAATAATGTCACAACTTATAACATTTTGACTTCACAACAATTTATTATAAAACAAAATAAAACATGTCGATATCCTCTTTATCTTGCCTATAGGCTATAATATAAGATTTATCTAACCTATCTCATATTGCGTATGTGATTTGCGAACTATCAGTGTGGTTTGATTTTATTTATCTTGTTTGATTAATACAGTCAGATAAATGAAATTTGATAAATAACTTTTTTTTCTTCTAGAGAGAATTGAATATTGATGTATTATATTTAATTTTATTTTTAATTTTTTTTACTATTTAATTTTTATTAATTTTAAAATTATATTTTTAAGATTTTTAAAAAATCGCATTTAATTTTACTATTTTTATAAGAATAATAATAATACTAAATAATATAAATAAAGAAGGTCCTAGAGCATAACTCCATTTAATATAGCCTTAGGATCTGGTGCTAAAAATTAAATGTTGAAAGTGCGATGAATAACTATAAATTAATTATATATATTTATATATTAAGAATTAATTCTTTTAAAATTCCTAAATTCTTAATTTTATTTTATTTTATTTTTTTCAGTCACTACCTGCAAATTCTTTCTTTTTAAATTCTTGTTATGCCATGTAGCTTCCTATTTATAATTTTATTATATAAATATCCTATTTTACCTTTTAAATAATATTTTATTCATTTTTTTATTTCCACTTTCATACAATCTAAAAAAAGTCAATTCATCTATTTTCACATACAGATTATTTTAATAACAAAAATAAAAAATTTGTCAAATGAAGATTTATATTTTTAAAATTTATTTCAATATTTTTTTATACTGTAATCAATACTTTAAATAATATTTGAAATATTTTTTATTCCTTTATTGACATTTTATTCATTTGAGACACTACATCATTATAAATATATTGCATTGTTGTTTAAGGATTACGAATAAATATTTTTAACTATTTGTCATGGTATGAATATTTGTATATTAAATCACTTGACTTATTAATATTATCAATAGTACATCATACATTACTATATAATTATTTTTTAAATATATTAGTTTTTACAACATTAATTTTTTATACCCCATTATTTTTTTTGTGTATCTACACGAATATATATATATATACTTTTTCAAATAAATTATTGTACAATTAAGTTTTACTTTATGTATTATTACAAATTCTTTTTTTTAAACTGTTACAAATTTATATAATTAATATTTTTTTCTGTCAATATTTATTTCATACAGTTATTTATTTATTATATGTATAATAATAAAGTAAATTTATAAGATAAAAATTAAAGATTTATACATAAAGATAAAACGAAAAATACAATAGATACGAGAAATTAAATAAGGGCATTTTAGAGTTTTTAGATAGATAAGAAATGAAAATGAACAAATTAATGTATAAAGAGTAAATAAGAATTTAAAAATAGATATAAAAAGTTTAGTGGAAGTAGCCATATTATTAATTATATTAATTAAGAATAATTATATTTTTAAGTATTCAGCGGGGGCTGAACTAATATTAATCAGCACAGGATTCTAACTGTTTAATACTTCCTCCGTCCCATATCTATATCTATTAGTTTTTGCACGAAGTTTTAGAAATATTAGTATTATATTGTGATGAAGTAGAAATAAATATAAAAATACTAAATTAACTTTATTAGTATTGTATGATATAAAAGTAATGATATTTGTGTGATATATTCTAAATTGGAAGAATATTTATAACGTTAGATAAATAACACAATTATTGGAAAAAAATAAAATAGATACTTTGTTATAAGATATATCAAAATAAAAAAAAAATTAATAAATTATTAAGATACGAAAGAAGTAATATTATTACAAGTAAAGGCAACGAATCATCACTCCATTTAATATATTATTTAATGATATTTACAGTAAAGGCAAAATTTGTATTAATGGCAAAATCAAATGATAACAACGTTCTTCTTTTTCCCTATGCCACAGGCCACACAGCCTTTCTGTATTCACCTTCATTTTCATTTGCATTTGCATTTCATCTATAACAGCTGCATAATACTCCCTTGGTCTTAGAAGATATGAGACTATTACTGTAAATACGGAAATTTAGGTAAAATATAATTAATAAATAATTAAAAAATATATTAATAAAAATAACTATAAATTAAGATTAAAATAAGTAAATAATCTAATTAAAATTAAGAAAATTATAAAATTTAAAATTTAAAATGCAATTAAAATGCATAATTATATTTTTAAAAATAGAAAAGATAAGTTACGTAGAACGGACGAAAATAAAAAATTAGAGATAAATTATATGGGACGGAGGGAGTAAATTTTACCGATCATTTTTACTTTAAATATACTTTTCTTAATTATATTTTTAAAAATAAAATAATTATTACAGATAGAAATGGGAGACCCGAATATAATTAGTCGAAATTATTTTATTGCCCAAAAAAGAGACACATCAGAGACACAGCCGAACACTCCGCAGCCACCGCCGCCATTTTTGTTCTGCCGCCTTTTTGTCATCATTAATCATTTTCAATTATTATTGTTTATCACTTTTATTACTATAACTCAGCACTTGTATTTTCAATTTTTTATTTAAAAAATAAAAAAACCACACCATGTATATAATTTTCAAATTAAAAAATTATCATTTCTTTTTGAGCCGTAACTAATTACATGGCCCCCTCGTTATAATCAAACTGCATAATAAAATAAAGATCACTTTTGGGAGAGCCGGGACTTCCACACCGGAACCCCTTTTGTGCTATTCAATGCATCTCGCAGATTATTCGGATGTCCAGATCCACGGATCTCCCACTTATCAAGCTTCATTATTATATACATCTATATATATTGTGTATATATATTTTTTTCCATTTATTTTAAGTTTCGTTTATTTTTTATTGTTAAACATTACAATTTTTTTATTTTTAATTTTTATAAAGCTATCGTTCTTAAATTGCGATTTTTTTTTAAAAAAAATAATAATAATTACATATTTTATACAAAAGTCAAAATATTTATTATAAATAAATTTAAAAGTCATTGCAAAAAATCAAAAATTCAAATACTTAATATAAATAAATATATTTTATATTTTTAACACAATATCTCATGCTACATACAAAACCTATATTTATTTTATCTTATTTTGAAATTTTGAGTTTCATCAATAATAGTAAAAATTTTAAAAATATATATATATATAGTATTTAATATAAAAAAATATGTATTGAATATATTATTTTAAAATATATAATACTAATTACATCATTCAATTTTGTGCTCAATTTCTTTGCTAAATAAAAAAAAAAAATAACACAAACTTTAATAACTGAAAAAAAAAAAATTAAGTAAAAATTACGTTTTAAATATAATATTCTTCAAAATCCTTTTTTTTTTTTTGTGCAAAATATAAAAATGAATTTTAGAAATAAATAAATATATATAATGTTATTGAAAATTATGTTTAGTATGTATACGTGTGTGTTTATGAAATATTTTTAAATAATAATAAGTGGATAAACTTTATATAAAATTCAAGTAGTAAAATATGACAGCTAATTTTCTGGATGTATTTTCAAACTCTTATTTTGATTCTCCATATGTATACTTATCGTATATTTATTTTTTAAAGTATTATATTCAAAACTTATTTTTATTCAATAAAAATTACTTTATCCGTCCCAGATATTTTGTTCGGCGTTACCGTAGATACGGAAATTTATAAGAAATATAATTAGTAAATAATTTTAAATATATTAATAAAAATAATTATAGATTAATATTAAGATAATTGATTAGTATAATTAAAATTAAAAGAAATTATAAATTAAATTTTTAAAAATAAAATTAAAATGTATAATTATTTTCTAAAATAGAAAAATGACAAAATAAGTAAGACAGACGAAAATGAAAATATAGATATAAAAATTGGGACGAAAGAAGTATTTTTTATATAGAAGATTATATTATGGGAGAAAATGATGAAGATAAGTGAGAAATATCACAGAAGTTTCAATGATGAAATGCAACTACACAAATAATTTAGATGATAATTAGAAAACTGTTATAATATATATATATTAAATTTAGAAATGTATAATGTATTTTTAAAATGTCTAAAATAAACTATAGCTTTTAGAGTGAGAAATAGCATATCAATGTGCTATTTTTTTGCAGTGGGGTGTGTGTATGTGTGTATATATATATATATGTATGTATGTATATTGTATGTGTTTATATATAAGTATTGAATCACACAATCTGAGCACCTTCAAACATTTGGCCCTTATCTTCCTCGAGATGTTCTTCCCTTTGCTCTTTAAATCACAATCATTTCTATTTCCCATTTCTCGATAAGAATTTCTGCCTTCTCATTTCCCAATCTTCACGTTGTCATTGTCCGGGGTTATATATATTATATATGTATGTATATATAGTCCAATCTCCTGAAGGAACTGTCCAAATCCGTGCGATTAGGCCGTTGCTGTTCCAGTTTCAGCTGTTTCAATTGATGTATTTGTGTTGATATAAACGTTGTATAGTGACTAATTATCAGCAGGTGGCGGTGGAAGGAGGCGGAATGGCGGCGGTTGTGGTGAGGGAATATGACGCGAATAAGGATAGTCGAGCGGTTGAGGAAGTGGAAAATCGGTGCGAGGTTGGCCCCAGCGGAAAACTGTCTCTCCATACCGACCTGTTAGGGGATCCGATTTGCAGAGTTCGTAATTCCCCTGCGTTTCTGATGCTGGTGAGAGAGTTGAGGATTTGTGAATTGATCGGTTGGTTGTTTTATTCTGATTTTTGGTGATTCTGTTGCACCGATTCATTCCTCCGGCGTCGGTTTTTGGATACAGGTGGCGGAGACGGCGGCGTCGGGCGAAGAAGAGGGGGAAATAGTGGGGATGATCAGAGGCTGCATCAAAACCGTCACGTGTGGAACGAAGCTCTCGCGGAACGGCAAAAATGGATCGAATAAACCGCCGGAACAGCTCGCCGTCTGCACCAAACTCGCCTACATCTTAGGCCTCCGCGTTTCACCTTCTCACAGGTACTGAAATTTTTCTTCACTCACGGCTTTTTGTTTGCCTCCTTCCATTAATGGCGGTTCCTGGCGACAATTTTTTATCAACGAAACTGTACTTGTGCATCCATACTTGTCCATTTCTTAATGCGTGTGGGGACGGTTGAGGATTTGTTTAATGTTCTCTTTGACGGTTTGCAGGAGAATGGGAATCGGATTGAAGCTCGTACGGAAGATGGAGGAATGGTTTCGAGAAAATGGAGCTGAATATTCCTACATGGCGACGGAGAAGGACAATGAAGCCTCCGTGCAGCTCTTCACTCAGAAGTGCGGTTACTCCAAATTCCGGTCGCCGGCGATCTTAGTTCAGCCAGTCTTCGCTCACCGATTCAAGCTCAGCAAACGAATTTCAATCATCAAACTCACCTCCGCCGACGCCGAGGCGCTCTACCGCCGGTATTCCTCAACAACAGAGTTTTTTCCGCGCGATATCGATTCGATCCTAAACAATAAGCTCAACCTCGGCACTTTTCTCGCCGTTCCGGCGAGATCGACGTACTCCAAGTGGTGGCCGGGCGCGGCGGCGTTCCTGCTCGACCCGCCGGAGTCGTGGGCCGTGCTCAGCGTCTGGAACTGCAAGGACGTGTTTACACTCGAGGTCCGCGGCGCGTCGCGCTTGCGGTTAGCCCTGGCGAAGGCCACGCGCATCGCGGACCGGGTTTTTCCCTGGTTACGCCTCCCATCGATTCCCCAAGTCTTTAGACCGTTCGGTTTTCATTTTCTTTATGGGCTTGGAGGGGAAGGCCCAAATTCGGCCCAATATATGAGGGCCCTTTGTGGGCTGGCCCATAACATGGCCCAAGAGCGCGGCTGCGGCGTAGTGGCCACTGAGGTCGCCAGCCGGGAGCCGCTCAGGTTAGGAATCCCACACTGGAAGAGTCTATCGTGCGCGGAGGACTTGTGGTGCATTAAGCGGTTCGGGGAAGACTACAGTGACGGGGCAGTCGGTGACTGGACAAAGTCACCGCCAGGGCTCTCCATTTTTGTTGATCCCAGAGAGTTCTAATAATACAAATACTAATAAATATATAATTAATTATAATTATTATAATCTGAGTAGGCTTATCTGTGTAGTTGTAGTATGCATGTATGTATCTTCTATATTACAAAATTTATCGTCTTTTTTGTTTTGTACCAACCTAGTACATGCATGAGTCTTGTAATATAAATAATAATAATGCATTATAATATATATTTGATATGGTTTTTTTTAAAAAAAATATAATTAATTAATGTGTCAAAACTTTATAAAGTATATATATTTAAGCGAACTACATTCCAATAAATAATCATCGTGTGGCCATCTTGAGAATTAAATAAAAATATTAAATCTATATATGTATATTAGGGTGCCTTCTCAGGGGTTAATTTAGTGTTAACAGCTCCTTTTGTCTTTTAGTTGTTAAGTGCTTTTTGTATTTTTCTTTGGGATATTTTAAACCCATGATTTCATGGTCACAAATCCAACCCTTACACCACTAAGCCATCCCTTGCGGTCATGGAGAGGTACAGTAAAGTAACTCTATTTAGAATGCTTAAGGGTTTGTTTGGATGTAGCTGAGGGGTTGGTATATATAGTAAATAGTAAATGTCTTGAATATACTAGGGCTTAAGGCTTCCCACAACCAATCAAAAAGTCCATCAACTTTCTTATAACTCAACATATAATATGATATTATTTCGCTTTAGGCAAAATCCGTACAAATTTGCTTTTGGATTTTGCCAAAAAACTCATAATATGTGAAGTTGGATATTACCTTATAACAAATTATATATATATATATATATATTTTGATGTTAGAATTGAGTTTTTTGTTTATTCTAAAAAATAAAGATTTAAATTGATATAACTTATTTGTTTGGTTTTTAATAAATAATTAATGTTTATAAAGACAATTTTTATATATATATATATATTATGTGATACTTAGAATAATATATATATTAAATAGTTTTAAATGATACTTAATCAATATTTAACTTGTTAATTATTTTCTCCATCCGTCAAATTATATTATGCTTGTATTGTATGGATGTGCATTAATCGTAAAAAGATATATAATATTTTTAATATAAAAGTAAAAAATATTTTGGTGTATCATGAAAATTCATATGAATTTAATTAATAGTGTAAGTGTAATGTAATAATAATGCCAAAATTATATGTAAAAGTATAAATAATATTTGAGTAGATAAAAAATATTGCTACTATTTATGTTTAAGTTCTACTACAAAGTAAGCATATTTTTGGTTGTTGGGGAGACTAGAAGAGTATTATTAAATAAATAAATAAATAGTTTAGGTTTATTTATCAGTATTTTATATTTTCTTTTATAATTATATGCGTATTGAAGAAAAAAATATGTAGTGCATGTGATTTTTGTAAATTTATTCTTCAAGCCATGATACATATGTGGAAATGAAATAATTGTGACAAATGGGTTCTTTTGATTTTTTTTTATTTGAATAATAATTTGGACGTGATATTTTACTTGATAAACTAATATATTTATATATATATATATATAATTGTTTGTATAATTTTTGAAAAGATGAAGTCAAAATCTAAAAGAATAAAGCTACGTGTGAGAAAATATTGATTCAAAATTAATAATTATGAAAACACAAATAAACACACTTGAAATAGTTAATTTAATAATTTGCTTATATTTGAAAATTTATACTTTTCAATTCATTATTTTCCTATTAAAGTATCGATGCAAAATTATTTTGTTTCCTAATCTAGATTTAATATTTAAATTTTTACAAAATTAAAAAGTATTGTTGAATGAACGTACAAATTTGGTGTGGGTTTGCATGGGAATTGTTGCAGACTAGCATTAAACTTAAACATGAATGTTGGTCACGTGATATGCATGTGCAACGAGGATAGTTAAACAGGCAAATAAATGTGATTTGCCCAGCGCCTGCACCCACATGATACTTTCGTTTTTATTTTTTATTTTATTAATTATTAATATACAAAAAAATAAAAATAAAATAAACCATATACAAAATTTTCATTTAGCTTCGTTTATAAAAATGTCATCTCATGGGCCATTATACAATTAGGGTTCTGAAATGGGCCTTTAATTAAATGCCATTTTAAAAGGGCCCAAATTGCCCCATCTTCGATTCATGTATTGACCACAAAATCGAAATCATAAGATTTCTGTAAATGGAATTTAATATTTCCTTCAAATTAAATTCGACTTCTAAAACGTGTTTAATGTCAAATACTAGTGAAAGCAATAAATAATAATAATAATAATAATAATAATAATAATGAGAGTAATAATAGCAAATGGTGTTTTCACCTATATTTTTCTAGTGATACAATTTATTTCTCATAAATATTTCATATCTAATATAAAACACGTCATTTGATTTTTTTTCTTTTTTCTCTCTGTATGTAATTCCCTTATTATTTTATAATTTTAGATGGATATTGTTATAGCCATCTTAGTGACACAAGATCATTTTAGAGAAAATTTTAGTTGTAAAATTAGTGACACAAGATCATTTTAGAGAAAATTTTAGTTGTAAAATTATTTTCATATAGTGTCCATTTAAAATTTTAAAATAATAAAGAAATACGAAAAAAAAAAATTACCAAAAATATTTTATAAAAAATAAAAAAAGTAAAATTCTGATATGACATCTACGTTACAATAACTTATCAATCACATCAATGCGATGTCAACAACGGCTGGCTGACATGGCAAATTTGACACTGAATGATCATTTTAACGAAAATTTTTTAATTACGACACTATTTCTAAATAAAATCCACTTAAAATTATAAACGATAGAATGATATACTACTAAAAGAACAGTTTATTCACATCCCATACTGATTTCTCTCCAACAACCTTACCCAAAACTAAAATCTTTTTTTTTTTCTAAAAAGAAAACTTTAAAAGATCTTACACTTCAACTATATACAAGCTTCTTACAAAGCTAACCCAACCGAGCCGAGCCGAACTGAACCGAACCAAATCATTCGTCAAATAACGAATCACTTCACCCCGGCACTCGGCTCAATCGTAGAACTCGAGCTCTCGGACATATCCAAGCTGCTCCGGTTCGACCACAGCCTCGACAAAATCATCTTCACTTTTCTCGGAGTTCCGGATTTGCCCTCGCGGCCATTTCGACTATTCACGCTCCCATTCTTTATCCTCCTCAGCTGATCCTTCAAATCTCCGAGTTCCCCAAACGCCCGGCAACTCTCCCAATCATCGTCAGAGTTCGCCGTAGTTGCACACTGCAAGCTCCTGCTCGACCCCCGGGGGGCCATTGCTGCAGAACCCCGGGTTTGCTCGCAGAAAAGAATCTGCACCGCTACACGCGACGGGAGCCTCTCGTTTTCCACGGCATGCGCACTCGCCTCCGACGATAGCCTCCGACAATCCATCAACCGGCAAATTCTTTTCTTCTCGCTCTTCGTCATCTCCAGGTGTTCCTGTAAACGATATCAATTTATTAACACCAGAAAATTATCGACGCTGGAGTCGAGCTGCCGGGTTGCCTACAAGTTACGACGAATCGATGAACGAACCTTGAGGTATGCGTCGATGGCCCGGTAGATACGATCGTGGCTCGATCTCGGATAATCGTAAACCATTTCAGCCAGAGCGATGAATTTGGATAAAGGCAACGACGGATCTCGAGCAACTACGGCTAGATAGCCATCGACGAGCCTAGCAACTTTTGCCGTCGAATCATTTAAATCGAACCCAAACTCACTCCGACAATCTTCCCGCCGCGCGCTCGCAAACTGCTCGACTAAGTCGCACACTACGTCAACATTGTACATCGTAGTTTCGCCGCTAATAAGAAGATCTGCAACGGCTGCTTCCTCGAGCTGCCCCGAGATTCGACGCATTAGATCCCTCCGTCCCGTCTCTCCACATTCCAAAATTATCGACGCGGACAAAAGATTCAGCAAAAAGCCACACTTTACAGAACCTGCCTCTCTCGGAAGCAACGAGATAATCGAATCCACCACGTAACGGTACTTCAGAAGATCGCCCGATCCTGGGATGACACCTTGTCCGAAACCCGGAAGTCGTTTCACAGTATACGCCCTTAAAGCAGCCCCAATAATGCTCCCGGACAATATCCCTTTCCCTTTAATCGATGTAATAACTCTCTTGTACAAATCAATCGAGAGATCGCAAAGATCTTCCGCCCACCAGTCTTCGGGCGCCGTCTGCTGTTTTCTCAAACGATTATAAGTGTACGACCAGTCGACTCTCGACAGGTCTGTACAAGCTCGCATAGCAATTGACTCGACGCAGTGGGTAACAACTTTGGATCCCTCCAAATACGATAGGAAAGGTTTAGTTTTCGAGAGTAAGATTATCGAATCTTTCCAGCTCCGGAAAATGCCAGATGCAAGAAAGACGTCGATTTTAAACACGAGATTGCCTTTCTCCACATTCTCATGCATTTCCAAGTACTCGGCTGCACATCGTGCTGCTACCACATTGTACGCGTTTAGCGTTACCACCATACCATAACAGAACTTGGCGCAGATCTCAAATGCAGCAGGGCCGCCCGGAATATTGTCAATGTTAATTTCACTGTCAATATCACAACTTGAAGCAATAGCAGCAGCGAGGCTCCGAAGCCGGGAACTCTTGGAGAGAAGAGGAAACTGCAAGAACAGTTAAGATTAGCCCCGGCGGCATTGCAGACTCTTGTTCTTTTTACTTCTAACGAACACATTATACATCTATAGGCAAGCGAACAATCCGAATTATACCTTGTGGATATAAAATTTGACATCTCCGACGCTAATGACTAAATCGGTTGACAACTCTGTAGCTACATACCTTCAACAGACATACACAATAATCACATTTTCGATATGGAACAAAAAAGAAAAGCCAAACAACAATGGATTCATCAGGAGATGGCTTAACCTTACCTTACATTATCCCCCTCAGTCTGAAACAAATCAGGCTTGGATCCAAGTTTCATGAACTTCATATCAAATCCTTTATTTCACCTCCAAGATCTCTCTCTAGTAAATTGAAATTGAATGAAGTTCAAGACAATCACCATAACAGAGCAAACAAATACAACTCAGTAAGAACATTATTCATGTTTATAGAAGCTGTGATGAATTGATGTTGTAGATTATGCACCAAGACAAACAAAGCAGTTTAATTAAAACCAAAATCAAATGCACAGGAAATAAATAACCATAAAAATCTTCAAATTCAGAATGAGTTGAATTCCCAGTGTAAGAGCACTGCGTAAGAATATAATATGATTTGTGAAAAGATATATACATACAACAAAACACCAAAAGAGCCAAACCCTAGAAAAGATGAGTTGTCCCTAACCTTTGCCAGCCACCAAAGCAACACCATGTTTAAATTTTCGCTAAACGCCGCCCTCAGAATGTTCGCTGTCGCATCTTTAATTTTTCCCCTTTTCCTAACCCCACCACCATCATCTTTTCCCCCTTCTCCTAACCCTAATTTTTTAATTCAGAGAGACCAATTGACCATACACGAATTCAAATAATAATAGCGTCTAAAGTGCGAAAAGGCTTTGCACTAATTTAACCTTAACAGCTTTCAAATGTGCTTTATCATCCAACGGGACCCCGCAAACCCTAGATAGATATATTGCAAGGCACGCCAAACTGACACAGTTCCACCCACCATCCGCCAGCAGGTTTATCCTTTTTCCCCTTTCATGAATCAACCGGCGAATGGCTCTTTCGCCCAAGATAACGACGCGTCTGGATCCGGATGCTTCCGCATTTCGATAACCACGACGATGCCCAGGGATTTGCAGTGCAATTGGTTGATTGATTGATTGGGATCAAAGCGAAGAGGTAGATCATCCCGGGATTTGGCGCGGGAAATGGAGATATGGAATCGAATGTTATGGACCACATGATTACTCATGATTGTTTACTTTGGAGTTGAGAGTCAAATCAGAAATGTATCGAAACATCCCTAACGCCATTATTACACTCAATTGCCTTTTTGCAGCTTAAAGCAGTCATTATTATGATTGTTTTTCTTTTTTTTTCCTTAAACAAATTACTCCCTCAGTCTCATCAAATTTAAATTTATTATTATATAAAAATTTAAATAAAATATAATTAATAGATAATTAAAAAATATATTAATAAAATTATTTATTATTTAGTAAAAATAATTATAAATTAATATTAAAATAAACAAATAGTTTAATTAAATTTAAGAAAATTATAAAATTTAAAATTTGAAATATAATTAAAATATATAATTATATTTTTAAAAATAGAAAAAACAAATTATATGGGACGAACTAAAAATAAAAAATAAAAAAAAATTATGTGAGACTAAGAAAGTAATTTACAATACTAAACTTTTTTTATCTGATAAATTGCATTATTATATTCCCTTTGTTCTATATACATACGCTGTGTTTTATTTTAATTTATTTTATATGTTTTGCAATATAAAATATATATAATTATATTTTATTTTATTACATCATTCAAATAAAAATATATATATTTCTTTTTATCATATTATATCATTCATATTTTATTTTTTTAATTTAAATTTTTATGTTAAAATCAAACTATGCATCTTGTATTAGATAGAGGGAACACTATTTTATTGTAGATAAATTTATTATGTAAAAAAATATATATATATATTTAAATTTTATAGTTAATTTCATTTGTAAATTATAAAAATAAAAAAAAATGCTTCCAAATTTTGATGGAATAAAAAAATAAATATATATATTTTTTTCATCATATCATATCATATCATTCCTATTTTATTTTATTAATTTAAATTTTTATGTCAAAATCAAACTATGCATGTTATTTCAAAAAAATTATTTAAATTTTATAGTTAATTTCTTTTGTGAATTATAAGGAAAATATTTCTAAATTTTGACGGATTAAAAAACAATATTTGATAAAATATTTTGCAATAATAAAATATAATATTTTTTTTTTCAAAAAAGAAAAAATACAAGTAATAAAATTTGAAAGTTTTGTGTTAAGAGAATGGTTAGCTGGGCAAATTCTTAAATCTTTTGCACGAATTGTTTTATATGATATATAAAAAATTATGTTACTAATATATATATATAATAAAATTGTATTTAGTTGTTGATTTTTTTATTTAAAAAAAAATACAATATATTTTAATTATATTATGTATATATATTATATTAATAGAAAATCATGTCTAAAAAATATTGGGCGAAAATACTATACTTTATTTTTAACTTTTATAATAAAGTTTAGTGAGAAACACGCTTTGTGTATATATATTTAATAATGACTGTTTATACTATTAATTTATGTATTTAACTTTTTTAATTGAGAATTATATTAAATATAATGTTCAAAATATTACATTATATATTCATTATTTTTTAACTTTCTAAAACTCTAAATTTTTGTTTATATATATATAATATATATACATTTTTTAAAATTCTATAAAAATATATATTAAATATTTATTTTATCTCATAAAATATCAAATAAAATACTATGACTTTTGATATTGGGCAAATTATATAATATTTCTTTGTATTTAATAAAGATAGACAAAATATTTTGTATTTTATTTATTGTGTTAATTTAAAATTTGCACAAAATATTTTTTTTATCGAAAATTAATGTTTTATTTTAAATAAAAACTTAAATTTTCGCAAATTTTGTATAAATAAAAGACGTAAAATATTTTAACTAATTTTTTTGAATAAAATAAATAAATAATTGATCAATTATACATTTTTATAATTTTTGTAAAAATCAGATAACAATTTATCTTAAAAAAAACTATAAAATAAAGAACTAATCAATTATTTATTTATTTATTTTATTCAAAACAAATCTTTTAAAATATTTTGTCTCTTTTATTTTTATAAAAAACTTACATTTACAATCAAATATCAGATTTTGACGAAAAAGTATTCTGTTCAAATTTTATATTAACACAGATGAATTTTATACCATAAATAAAATACAAATTATTTTACACATTTTTACTAAAACACAATGAGATTATAAAATTTACTTTTTTAATATTTTCAAAAATTTCCAGACTTTAAAAGCCTCTATATATACCATAAAAATTTTCCATAACTATAAATTTGTTTATTTAATTTTATAATTATAAATATCTTTATTGCTAGACATGTATAATAGCCACGGTGTTAATAGTGAAAATATTTTGTAAATTTGAATTGTTGGCTTTTATTTTTGGGTGTGTTTGTTTGGGGATTGGATTTTAAATAAATTATTTATTTTATTTTTTTTTTCAAAAATATCAAATTAAAACACCTATTTTTTATTTTCTATATTATACTAAAAATCAATTTTACATTCAAAACATCACATCAATACCTATTTATATCACATCATACAATTATTCAAATTCAAAATTTTTTTACTATTCAAATCCCAACTCAAAATCTAAACCTCCAAACAAACACACCCTTTGTATATTTAGTATTTTAATTTTTCTTTTTTTTTATATTTTGTACTCCCTCCATCCGTGGTCACATTCACATTTTGCGTCATTGTACTTAATATTAAAAATATCCTTATATTTGTATAATTTTTTTTTTTTTCAAATATTCTTCTATTAGTATTATAAGATACTAATAAAAGTATTTTTGCAACTTTTTTTCTTAATTTGTATTATAATTTGATATAATAATTAATATTCAACACGCAAAAAATAAATGAGAACCTTAAAGCCGCACGGAGGTAGTATTGTTTTATAAATTAGATATAATTATTTATATTGCAATAAATATATATGTTATTATTAAAATATTACATAATATAAAATAAATTAACATTATATTACATATAAAAATATTTTTGAAGTTGATATGTAAATAAATATGTTATGTAATTGTTTAAAAATAAAGAGTATAAGTAGAATATTTTTTTAGCGGAAAAAATAGAGTGGATTGGAGTGGAATTAAAATTTTTAAAAATATTAAAAAAAAATTTTTTTGGAGAAAATAGAGAAATCGGTTGGAGATGACCTCATAAATGGTGGTTATTTTTGCAAAAAAATTGTCGTCAACGATAGCTCAGCGGATCTGTCAAATAGACGTCAATTGGATTCTCCAATCCCTTGGAAAAAGGATTAGAGTTTAGTCACGCAATAAAAAATCGATACCTAACAAATCTAAATGAAAACTATTACGACAAACATTGTTGGAACTAAACTAATGTGCCGAAAAATCAAATAAAATTGGTTCAAATAGATGAAATAAATAAGAAATGGAAACTATTTTGTTGGATATTGATAGTATGATTGTTCATTTTTCTTCTTCTCTTCTCTCCATTTATATTTCTAGTTGTAGGCAACTTTCACCGTTTTATCTCTTTTTTTTTTTTTTTTTTTTTTTCTTTATTCTGAACTTTCCTACAACTACGAATGAATAAAAATATGACCAAATATTGAGTGGATTTACCCCTTATTTTTGCTCTACATCCCCACAACAATGAATGGATAAAAAATTTGACCAATGGTTTGTTTCTTTAACAAAATTTTTCCAAAATTTACTATTTTTTTAAAAAAATATATTTTTTCTCTCACAAAATATCCTATTAAACATTATTTTCATGCCAAACTCAAACGAATTTTTTTCCAAACTCAGTCAGAAGATTCACACTCTTGAATAAGTTTATCTTTTGGGTTTGTTGTGGGCTTTTTGGAATTGCTCTAAGTTGTGTTTCTTGGGCCGGATCTATATTAAAGTATTTTTTGGATTGTACTCCTTGGGCTCAATCTATGATTTGTCTTAAATTTTATAAGATTGGTTTGGATTGTGTTTACTGGACTGGATATGTGGCAAATTATTATTTTTGCTAGATAACAATTATCGAATTAGTACGATATATGGTGGTTGACGATCATAAGATCACTTTTTGGAACCCTATCAACGCTATATAAAACTTGACAAAATTACTCAACATACACTATCATAAGAGCATATCAAAATATTCTATATATTCATGTTATTTTGTTGGTTTTATTTTTTAAATAGTTAAATTGAAAATATTTTATGATTAGCTATATATAAATGTACAGTGTTTTTATTGTATTTTTGATATAATTAATTAAAAAAATAAACATATCAAAATAAGAGACAAAATATATAAATTACTACATACAAATAGTGAAAACAATATAACCAATCATACCCTAGGGCCCAATAATATATCTTCAAACTGAAAGTAGGACCATTATGTATCTTGGTTTCGTTGTACACTGCAAGCCCATTAACATAATATAATACCCAATTCCTTTTTTGCTTGTTTAGCAATTTGTATAATTAAAATAATTTTTATTTCACTTTCATTTTTATGTAATTTTAAAACTAATTTGCAAAAAAATAAATCTAAAATAAATTTATGTATAAATAAAAATGAAAACTTTGAGAATTTTTTTTGAAAAATTGATGCAAAGCCAAACACGAGATTCGGAATGAGTAAAAAGTATATAAACTATATCTCACTATAGATCAATTGATTTTATGATAATACGATATTATGTGATTGAAAATTTCAGAGATTAAATCCTTTACATCCTCACCATGACAAACTACGAGTTGAATGGAACGAGGGATTGGTTATAATCCTTCAATATGATATAAAAAAATCTACACTCACAATTTTAAAACCCTTTAAGGGGACAAGATATGCAAAAGCAAAACCCAATTTCTTTAATAATGGAAATATTATCAAACTTCTGACTGGGGTTTAGGTAAATGAATGAATGAATGATTTGGTGTTCTTCTCCATTCAAGAAGAAAAGAGTGAAATCAAGATACCAACTTTAGTCAATGTAAATATGAACACATAAAAGAAGCATCCCTCAACTAATTCCAGACAAACAAATACTCTTTAATTCAAATGCTAGTCTATATTATGTGTTAGGCTTGTACATCAAGCTCCTGATGCACATTCCAATCAATCTTCGGTTTACTTGTGTCCTAATTTGCAAATATGATGTGCAGGAAGCAATGCATCAATGGTTGCAGTTGTGTTTAAGAGATTTAATTGTCAATAACTTAGCAAAATACTGCCAGATCTATCAATAAACATCACCCTACAGCACTCTACTTTTACCAATTTCAAATTAGAATAAAGCTAAAACCGTTCTATGTAATCAAAATCCAATTCGTAAGGTTAAGAATCACGAAATCAGAAACATATTGCAATTTCCATAAGAAAGTAACGAAGTCTGGCGCAATTTCATGTCCATCATATCCAATCATCAAAGCAAGAGCCAACATAAAAGACATAAAAAACAAAATCGAAATTAATCTACCTCTCAGTCGATGGTCTGCATAATATCCTCAGCGGTGAACTTGGTGCCCTTATCCTTATCAGCGGCGGCGCGTCCCTTCGCCTTGCGGTCGAGCAGCGACTTCCGATCCTTATCGAGGCGGAGCTTGGTGATGACAACCTTAGAGGGATGGATACCGACGTTGACGGTGGATCCATTCACCTTCTCGCGTGTGATGCGCTCGATATGAATCACCCACTTCTTGCGGTAGACCTGGACGACCTTCCCCTCCCGGCCTTTGTAGGTGCCTCTGACAACCTGCACCTCGTCGTCCTTGCGAACAGGCATCGAACGAACGTTGTACTTGGAGCGGAGATCCCCGGACAGCGGCGCGCTCATGATAACACGGCGGACGCTGGAAGGCGCCGTGAAGTGCGCCTTCCGGCTCTTGCGCCGGGATGACGAGACGCGAGGGTTGTACTTCATCTTCGCCGCGGTAGCTTCAGTGAATTGGAATGCTGCGGATGGAGAGGAGACGAAGGAGTGATTTAGGGTTTCGCAGTATTTATAGACTCTTTAGCTTTCAGCTGGGCTAGGGCAAGAATATTTAAATGGGCCTATGTTGGGCTTAATATGTAAGCTTAAATAAAGAATTAGGCCCATTTAATTAAATCTTAATTATTCTTTTATTTATATAAGTGTTGATATGTATGTGTATTGTTTTCCGTATTAAAATAGTGATTACACGTTACTTTTTAATTATTTTAACAAAATCTGCTAAATAAATACTTCCTCCGTTACAGATGATTTTTTTTCTTTTTTTTTTGTACGTATCAACAAATGATAAATAAATAAAAATATTTATTTGTATTATATAAAATTTTATTATCTACAAAATAATATTCATATTGCATATGTTTTTTTGAGATATAATCTTAAAAATTTTTAAAATACCAACAATATTATTCATATATAAAATACTCCCTCCGTCCCAAAAGATTTGTCTTGTTTTTTCATTTTCGTCCGTTCCAACACAATTGTTTTGTTTTCTTATTTAGTAGCCGCGGTCCCCACTTTATAACAAAATTATTCCTAGTTTTTTATACTACCTCTAATTATTACTCTAACATACTCTTTAAAATCTTTAAAAAAGTAAGAACATTTTAGTCATTTACATTATATTTTATACCCACTTTCAATTAAATACTATTATTCCTTAATTTTTGTGTCAAATCTCAATAAAACACTTCTTTTAGGACGAAAAGAGTAATAAACTAATATCATAATTTACTAATCTACACTACCTAAAAAACCGTGTCTCTAATTAAAGGGTCATCCTCGCGAGACCGAGAGAGTATTAAGTTGATGTATATATTATATGTGTTTGAAGGTGAATGACTCCGTGTTACTATACTCCTTTCGTCTGCCTCTACCGATCACATTTATCTTTTATGTTATTATATTTAATATTAAAAATATTTTTATATTTATATAAATTTTTTTTTACAAATATCATTCTATTAGTATTACAAGACACTAATGAAAATATTTTGGCAATTCTTTTTTTAATTTGTAATACGTTTTGATATAATAATTAATAGTAAAAAATTAATACGCAAAAAAGTAAATGAGACCCATAGAGTCGAACGAGATAGTTTTATTTTTTAAAATAAATTGATTATTTTATTGATAGATATGGCTTTGTTGGGTTTACGGGCATGTTAATAATTACGCTAATCTTGGCGGGCACTATAAAAATAATTAATTTTAAAATTAAAAATTAATTCAGTTACTAATTAACTCTATAATTACATTTAAAGTTGGCAATGAGTAGATTTGTGTTAAAATTGAATAGTTTAAATGAGTCAAATAACTCAACATTAATCCGATTTGTTTATTATCGTGTTGGATTCGTGTTGATTCGTTTATTACCGTGTCGAATTCGTGTTAACCCATGTTGACTCGTATCATAATTAAATTGAAATTCTTGATATAAATTCAATTATTTTTAGTTATATTGTCGTGTTATGCTAATTTTTGTTTTACTGGTGTAATGTGTACAATAAATTATGTTAGAATTATTTAAAATTGAACTTAATTTAAATTAATATGTGACTAATTATTAAATTATAATTATTTTACATATATAATAAATATATTAATTATCGGGTTGTCGTGTCAGATTTGAGTTGAAAACTTCAATAATAACCCGACTCATTTATTATCTTGTTGGGTTTGTATCAATCTGTATGCATATCGAATTGAAATCTTTTATTTCAATTCAATTATTTTGTATCATGTCAATTTTTGTCAGCTCTATTCACACACAATAAGATCAATGTCGATTCATCAAGTAAATTCGTGTGTTTGTTATTTGAAATTATTTTTAAATAATATAAAATTTTAAATTAATATTTTTTATTGTAGTATAAATAATCTTTTTAAATAATTATTAAATAATAAATATATTTAAAAACAAATAGTAACTAATACTCCCTGTATGTCCCAAAACAATTGTCTAGTTTCCTTATTTAGTAGCCGTGGTCCCCATTTTATAACAAAATTATTCATACTTTTCCATATTACCCCTAATTATTACTCTAACATACTCTTTAAAATCCTTCTAAAAACAATGACATTTTAGTCATTTATATTCTACTTTATACTCATTTTCAATTAAATATTATTATTTCTTAATTCTCGTGCTAACTTTAAGACAATTCTTTTGGGACGGAGGGAGCAAAATATTAATGCCAAAAATGTAATAATAATAATAATAATAATAAAGACAATAAATATTTTCCAAAATAGAACCAAAAAAAAAGCAAATAAATGTTTAAGCAAATAAATGTTTGTGTTCACAAACATTTAATTTTGTTAGGTAGGTCGAATGGTCTAAGTTTTTTCGATAATTTATAATTTATATAGCAACAAAAATACTACTATATAAATGGGTTCGTGACCGTGACCGTGACCTGCAACAGGTTAGGTGTTAACTAATTTGTTTAATTAATTAATTTATTATTATTATTATTATTATTATTATTATTATTATTATAGTCAGGATTAAATGCATGGATTAACAAATTTTAAATTGTAATAAAGTAAAATTTAAATGTTAAAAAAGTAAAATTTAAACACTAAAAAATTAAACTTTTAAGTTCAATATATTTTATAATTCAAAACAATTTAACATGGAGAAAGAAAAATTTAAACACTAAGAAAAGTAAAGTCTAAACATTTGAATTGAACTTAAAACTTTACAATTTTATTTTATATTTTTAATTAGTTAATAATAATGATTTATCATACGTATTTTTTATTTATTATGTAATAAATAATATTGGTAGTTTTACAAATACATAATAATTTAAAAAGCTTTACAATATGTATTTAATTATTTTAAAAATTATATCATAATAAAAAATATATATAATATGAATAAATATAATTTTGTGGGTAATGTCAATTATTTTTCTAAAAGAAAGTACTTTTTTATAAAGTGTAAATAACAAAAATAAAAAAAAAAAAAATTGAACTGATAATAACCTAACAGGTTAGGGAACTAATCATCATATCATTAAACCACCAAACATTTGATAATTTATACAATAACAAAAGATTCTATATAAATATAAATATGCTTGACTCGGTCCATATTATACTCCGTCCGTCTCAAAACTATAGTCTCGGTTGTATTTTGCACGAGATTTAAAAAATATTGACAGTGGATAAAAAATACGGGTAAAAGACTTTTTTGCTCTTACGAGTGTATTAGTGTAAAAAGTAGTAGCAATTGTATAATAATAATGAAAATATAAGGGTAATTTTATAGTGATATGATTATTTATGAAAATGAAACTATTGTTTTGAGATAGACAAAAATGATTGTATTAAGTCGGAGGGAATACATAATTATATACTGTAATTTATTTTAATGGCTTAATTTTTCTATTATTATATCCATAGTTGATATTTATGTCAATTTGATAGAAAAAATTATAAAAAGTTGATAAAAATAAAAACCAAAGAATCAAAAACATTTTTTTATGACAATAAAAAATAAATAAATTTAAATAACAAAAAAAGTATTAGATTCAGTAAGAGAGACTCCATCCATCCCATTTAATTTGTTATTTTTTTGAAATATACTTATATATTTTAATTATATTTTAAAATTCATAATTTATGTATATTATTTATTTTAATTAAACTATTTAATAATCTTAATTTAACCTATAATTATATTTACTAATATATTTTTTAATTACTTACTAATTATACAATATCCTAAAATTTTGTGCATAAACTAAATAAGACAATTTAGTTGAAATGTTACACATGATTTGACAGACAAGACCTTGACCAGGACAATTAAGAACTCATCTTTACACTACCAGACTATCATTTACAGAAATAATAAAAATGTGCGTGATTAAAAAAAAAAAAGAAAAATTATTAGTATTAAAAAAAATATAGATAAATAAACTCATGATATAAATAAATCTGAGAGTGCACATCTAGTGTGCCAAATCCTCTAATTAGTGGACCATTGTACTTCCTCTCCCTTTCTATCATTTAATTTATGACTCTCATGAAAAAGACTTTTTTTTTAAATTTATTTATTTAAAAAAATTATACTAATATTTTTTGTTTTTTTTTATAATTGTAAATGATACACACCTACCTAGCCGTATTAAAACGTTATAGAACTATGAGAATACTATTGAGCGACCTACGGAGTAATAAGCAAGCGAAGAAGAGAACACAATAATCAAGCAAGAGACTCCGAAGTGGTTTCAACGTGTTCCCCACCGATTGTCTGCATGATACCTGACGCGTGTTGCTAAGCGATTTGTGGATTGGGTGAAAATTTTGACATTTTCGATTTCGCGTAAGTAGTCGCCGAGTGTTGAATCTGCCGTCTCTATCCGTCTCAATTGTCTGCAGCTCTTTAAAGGTATATTCCGTTGTCAAATTGCATTCGGAGAAGCCTTTTTTTAACTTTTCACTGTTGTCAATTATCGTGGCGAACCAACCGTTAATGGTGCAATATATAGTCTCCTTACTGGAATTTGCTGTTTGAGATAAGGAGGAATGGCTGCGCTGGGCAATCAAGCGTTGAATTTGTGTAAGGCTTCGGCACTAGACCCAGCCGAAGCAGTACACGCCAAATCGAAGCCGTCCGCAGCAGTGGCGTTACCCAGAAAGGGTAAGTTTTTGGAAAATTACAGCGGTTTATCGAAATCCATCTTCGTGGCGCCAATTAAGGCTATGGAAGCTTCCGAAGCAGCCGCGATGCACGCCAACGGTCTGCCAAAGCATGCGCGGCCTCAATCCCCCGGCGATCTTCGGAAAACCGATGGCGACGGTTTTTATCCTTTTCCCTGCGCTGCGTTAGGTTAAATTGATTGCTTGGAATTTCTTTAGGATACTGATCAGTGTGATTTATCGATTGAATAGGGGAAAGCGTGATCGAGGTGTCTACAGTTGGAAATTCACCAAATATTGCTTGGCACAAGTGTTCCGTAGAGAAGGGCGACAGGGAAAAGCTGCTTAATCAGAAAGGCTGTGTTGTTTGGATAACTGGATTGAGTGGATCAGGTTTGTGGATTGCTCTGTTATGCTTAGGTTTTCACAGTATATATATATATATATATATATTTGTGAGAGATGCTTGCAAATCTAAAAAATGTTTGTAAATGATGAAGGCAGAGTTCATGTGGATTATATCAGATAGTTTGTTTGAGCGGGGAGTACCTTTGGGCGGATTATCTGTATACTAATTTATATATCAAGTGAAGAATATGATGATTGAATAATCCTTGGGAACCATCTTTATGGAATGTTGTTGACGTGCATTGTTACTTTTCAGCATAATGGAATCAATACTTTAAAGCATATGATTATTATTGAAATGCTGTTGGAAAGTTAAAGACTTTTCAAAGATAAAAAACATTCTGTTCCTGATGGTGTTTCTGTCAATGAGTTGGTTGTGTAGTTAGTTATTGAGGACTTATGGAACTATTTACTGAAGTGGATAAGCTTCTGTATCTTCTTTCTTGCCATGGTTTTTGTGGCGGCACTTAAAATCTTGAAAAAAATTTTTGTTATCAATATTTTCTGTTCATAATGTTATGTCTGCTTCTCCTGTTCAACAAAGCTTGGCCTTTGTTTGGGGATGGCAGCTATGGGGAAAGTGCTATTTCAGTGATTCGTTGATTGTTTGCTTCAGGGAAGAGCACTTTGGCATGTGCTTTAACTTCCGCCTTACATGCCAAAGGAAAGCTCACTTATATCCTTGATGGGGATAACTGCAGGCATGGCCTGAACTGTGATCTTACTTTCAAAGCTGAAGATAGAGCGGAGAACATTAGAAGAATAGGTCGGTTTTGTATTTGGTTTTGACTTGATTCGGTATTTATTTCATTACATACCATCTAATAATTCAACCAGCTTGTTCTATTCTATATAGGAGAAGTAGGAAAGCTATTTGCTGATGCTGGCATCATCTGCATTGCAAGTTTAATATCACCCTTCAGGAAGGAACGCGAAGCCTGCCGAAATTTACTGCCTGAAGGGGATTTTATCGAGGTATGAAACTGCTGAACTTCTGCTATAACTAGTTGCAAGACTTCCACTTAAATTTCTTTATCTGTATAGGTATATATGGATGTGCCTTTACAAGTTTGTGAGGCAAGGGACCCTAAGGGATTATACAAGCTTGCCCGGGATGGAAAAATCAAAGGTATTTCGCAGCCCTCTCAGCAGAATCAATTCTTTACCTATTCATATATAGATATTTATTTCAATTTACTCAATGCTCGACAGGCTTCACTGGAGTTGATGATCCTTACGAACCTCCGCTTAGTTGTGAGGTATGTCTTCCTACTCGCACACCATTACCTGAAACTAAAACTAAACATACTTTTGGTGACGAATTAAATCTTATAATGATTTGTAATTTTTCTTCCCAGGTAGTCTTGCAACAAAGAGACGGAAATTTCGAATCTCCGAGTGTTATGGCAGAAAAAGTCATGTCTTACTTGGAACAGAAAGGTTACCTGGAGAGGTAATTTGTGAATCTGATGGAGTTTGTAGTTGATTCATCGATCAACTTACTCCCAACAATCTGTAAGGTTAATTGGGGCAAGTTGTACATGCATATATATATATATATATTTATGAACCACAGTATTGATTAGTTACTATAGTTTGGTTGTGTTAGAGTTAAACAGAGGCATTGGAGTGTGAGTGTGTATTTAAGGTTTTTTTTACCATACAGTTGAAAATAATCTGCAGTGCTGTAGACATGGCTGGTCTGTGTATTGTTTGGCCTTTGGATGATTGGTAAATAAAGCATGCAGCTTTGTTTCTTTTTAGTTTGGATTGAATTTGTAGATTTGGGTTTTTTATTAAAATAATATTTGATGTATATATATATATATATATATTTGAGACAAAAGTGTAAAGTCTATTTAGTAAAAAATGGTATAGAAACTGAAAAGGAGCTTACCCATGTTTTGTGTTTAGTTTTTTAACAGTTCTTCTACTGGTGTATTAAGTCTGAGTTGATACATGTTAATGCACATAGGATGATCAATTATTTAGTTGAAAATGATTGTAAGTTATGCAAAACTATAATGTAGGAAATATTGTTCAAATGGTTAAATTGCATGCTAGAGGTTGAGATTGCGCGTGTGGATGAAAAAAAAGGCATCAGCGTGTACTTCGTTAGGTTTTGATATTTTAATTTTTCTGATGTACATATTGCATAATATATTGTAAAATAAGCCAATAATGTATAACAAACAAGATTAAGCGGGGTTTCGAATGACTAGGGCGAAATAAGAGTCAGGAGTACTTGTATATTTTAGCTATAATATATTATAAATAATAAAAAGACAACTTTTTAGTATTTTTTATGCAAAAAAAATATCAATAATTATAAAATAAAATTGTTTATAACTTTCATAACTCCCAAAAAGCACAGAGGATCCTAGTCCGGGATCCTCCCAAGGAGTAATTGACAATTTTTAATATACGTTTAAAGTAGAAAGGAATTCTTGGCTATTTTTTTAATAATAATAACATAATTTTGTCTAAATACTTATCTTTTTGAAATGCAAAAAATAAAATAAAATAATAATAATAAAATTAAAACAAAAATAAAGACCTCTAAGTATCTATAAATGATATACTCTATTTTATTTTTTATTTTTTATTTTTACCTATAAACAAAAACTTAGGAGCCTTAAATATGTATAAATTATATAGTTTTTATGTATAATAAAATAAAATAAAATAATAGTTTTAATATTTTTATATGCAAAATATAATTATACTATTAATATTAATTTTATTTAATTTTTTCTAATATATAAAAAAATATTTTTAAATTTTGAAGGTATATGAGTTTGAATCCAAAACTTAAAAAGTAATGTCTATAGCACTTAGTCACTAAATCATATTCATCTTAAAATCAAGTAATTTGTATGTATAAATATTTTATATATAACTTAAATAAATAATGGACCTCTATTTAGATTGGGCTCTGGACGAGTGTTCCTTACGTCCGGGCCCAGGGCCGGCTCCGTAACAAGTTCACTCATCACACAACATTTTACGATAGTATTTTTTTTCATCCAAACTCAATGTATTATTTAGTGTATGATTATTTTTATTAAAATAGAAAAAATTGTAAAAATAGTACTTCGAATTGAAACAGATGGTGAATTGTTCGTCTTGTTCTCCCTAATACAAATTTTCAATTGTGATTCCCAAAAAATAAATAAAAAATAATCTATACAAAAGTCAAAAAGTAAAAAAATAAAAATAAAAATTTAAATACTCTCTATAAAAAGTCAAATATTTAATTTAAAATAATATATTTTATATTTTTGATATAACTTCTGATACACACCAAAAATTATTTCATCTAAAAAGTCTGCTGGTGAACTTGATTTTTGGAGTTGATAAAGTATATATGATATATATTGTGTTAATATATATATATATATATTATATTTTTTAATAATATTTATTAGAAATTACAAATCATATGATCTCTCAGTAGGTAAAATATAATTAGTAAATAATTAAAAAATATATTAATAAAAATAATTATAAAATTAAAATTAAAATAATTAAATAATTTAATTAAATTTAAAAATTATAAATTATAAAAGTGTATACACATTTTCCAAAAATAAAAATGACAAAATGTGAAAGGAAATAAAAATAGTAGATACTTTATATGGATGTAGGAAGTATTTCTTTTAAAAATATAAAAATTTCACTCACAATAAATTATATTACTTCCCTAAGTTAACTAAGTATTCGTTTATATTTTTTACTTACAATGTCAAATTTTGAATTATTATGCAGAATATAAAAAAAAAACAATAACAAAAATACATCTATCAGCATTAATACAAACATAATGATATTAGTATAAATTATTGTATAAATGTAATTAAATACTTTTTAATCTGGTAAGGGATGACATTGTGGTGTGGAAGTTTAGCGCATGACGGACGGTGAAGTAATGAGTTCAAATCTCCGACACCTCAGGTCACCTGCCACACATAGTTCACGTAGTGTGACTTAGTTATCGAGCCCAGTTTGCATAGTGTGACTTAATAATCGAACCCAATTTGCACCGACTCTGAATTTCCCTAAGAATGGAAAACAATTGATTTTTACATTATTATTATTAGTATAATAATAATAATTATTATTATTACATGGTTCTAACACGGTCATATGCGATAAAAATTGATGATTCTTTATTTTAATGACATCCATTATTATTATTATTATTATTATTATTATTATTATAATATTTCGGAAATTATAAAAACAATTTTACAGTTCTTAGACGGAAGAAGGGTAAAGTTCGAATCCCTTTGGTAGCAGCGAAGGAGCTACGAGAAGATTGTTGAATCGCGAAAATGGCAAGCTCTCTCCGGCGGCTTGCGAGCAATTCTGGGAAAGCCTATAGGTCGGCTCTGACTCCGTTCTCGAGAACGTTCGCTACCGATGACGCTTTGGTGGAAGTCAAGCCGGGAGAGGTCGGAATTGTTTCCGGCATCCCACAGGAGCATCTCCGGCGACGGGTATATATATTTTCTGCTATTGGTTGCTTAGATTGTATTTTTCGATATGATTTTATATTTTTAGGCGTTATTTATTTCGTTTTTAGCCGTTAAATCATGAATTAGTGAAGTTCATATATTGATTTGGGTATCTAGGGTTTGAGGTCAGATTGAGACGGATCTTGCACTGAAAGTTGCAGATTTTAATGAATCCTGCTTTGTTACTAGCGCTCGCCTAATGAATCTTCAAGTTACGAATCAATTAGTTTGAGGATATTGAAAATTTTTATATCGGCATCACTATACTTAGCTTTTGTAAACAGGTTCTGATTTTCTCTCCTGCTCGAACGGCCTCTCAACAAGGATCTGGGAAGGTTGGAAGATGGAAGATTAATTTTTTATCCACACAGAAGTATGTCTTTCTTTTTTCCATTTTTCTTCATTGAGTAGAGGTAATCTTCATTGGTGTAGTTAGCCAAGTTATTTCAAATTATTGATGTCTGTGAACTAGTGCTAGGTCAATCACTGTATCCATCATCCCTATAGGAGTTTTAGTTCTTCCTCCATTGTGGAACTGAAACAGGCAAATTGTAAATGGCTCATTCATGGATAAGTCACACAAAATACTCCCTTCTCCTAATGGATACTTGTTTATTTTACATAGAAAAGGTGTAGATATTTTTCTTGCAATTGTCCAGCTGAATATCATTAACTATTTTGAGGCTTTTGAAACTCCAATGTTGATACATACCTTTGTCTTTACTAACTGTTCAGTTTTGAAAGCACCAGATTTCTGTAATGTACCCCTTTCTTATTTACGCTTTTCTACTTGATATGCTTCCAATCATTCAAATACTTACAGAGAGAGGAGGCTTGGAGAGTATATCACATTCTTTTTATATATTATTATATATTTCATGATTTTATGCAAATAAATTGATCTCACTAATTTGATACTCTGAATGACGGGCTTCTATACTTAACTCTGTTCAAGTGATGTCATCACTATGTAGTGATGTATTTAATTGTGCAGAGAATTTCCCTCGGGTCATTACATTGATTGTTATATCTCTATGTTTCAGTTATTTGACAATTGTTCTTTTCTTTGTTCAAAACATATTATGCCTTTTTTCAAGACCTCCGTTTCTGAGTATATATACTTGTGCTGCTTTATTCTACATTTATGCAGATGTAAATGGAATAGCATCAACACTCATGCCTGTTTTTGTTTACCTTTAAACCAGCGCCAAATTTGGAGCAGTTGAATAGTGTGGCTCCAAATTTTGGAACCAGATTGTTCCCCGGTCTACTTTTTGAACCAATCTTTTAACATTTCAAATTATCCCCTCCATTTTATATTAATAACGAATAATATTATAATCAATTGTGAATAATCATGAAAATGCATTTTTTTTTCCTTGTATGTCTTTTTATTAATATATTATATATCTTTTATATTATGTAAATAGTAAATTTAATTTTTATTTGTTAGATAAAATTTTACTTATATATGTATGATTTTGTTTGTGAACTATAAAAAGGAGGAGTAGGGCTTGTATAATTGTATAAAATAGAGTGGGAGAGAACATATTGATCATTTTCTTATATATGCATGATTTTGTTTGTGAGCTCTCAAAAAAGATGAGTAGGGCTTGTATAATTGTATAAAATAAAGTGGAAGAACATATTGATAATATTCTATCTAGACTCCAAAACAGAACAATGCGTTGAAGATGAATTAAAGTTTGGAGTCAAATATGGAGCTAAATATAAAGAAAATAGACATTGGATTGAGATTGTCTGAATTGTGCTCGACTATATAATCAATTTCTGACCACCTGTTTTTTATTTCTTTTTTTTTTTTCTTATCTTTGTTATGTTCATAAAACAGGTGGGAAAATCCATTGATGGGTTGGACGTCCACTGGTGACCCATATGCACATGTTGGTGATTCTGCATTGAGTTTTGACAGTCAAGAAGCTGCAATAGCATTTGCAGAGAGGCATGGTTGGGAGTACACGGTGAGGCGTTTTACTTTTGTTCATTCTCTTGTTGGTTTTTTACTTTTTATACAAGGGGATGCAATTGGCTTTGTAAACCCTTTTGTTTTCTTACACTTCATTAGTTTAGTTGTTTGTGAAAAATTAATATTGAGAGAACCTCTAGATCTTTACTAATTTGACTATACCGAGACATGGAAACTCAGAGAGTAAAAAAATGTTCCCAATCTAAACAAAAATGTTATCTATTGGATTAGCTATATTCTATGGATGCATGTACCCTATGTCTGGATAGTTAGTCTGAATCAGCGCACTAGTTTGTCGTATCCTTGACATTTAAGAACTATCATCCATCCATCTAGGTAGACACATTCCATGAGAGACCATCACATTGTTAGAATATTATTCATCCAAATTCCAAAGGCACCCTCTCTATTTAAAGTTGGAAAGGGAAGTAATTCATCTTAGTTTGTTGGGATATTTTAACCTGATTTTGTGTCCTGGTCTTGTCTTTTTATTCTGCCTTTCTTCGACCGTTTGGCTGGCAACATTTATGCATGAAAATGTGGTATCAATATCAAGTTTATGAACTGCTAAGATTATACACTACCACTACTTGCCTCGACTAAACAACCAAGCTTCTTATCTTTTCTCCTGCAGGTCAAGAAGCAGCAAACACCATTGTTGAAGGTTCGATTACTATGCTTTTCTAACAAGATTAGTGACTTTTTGATAAATCAATCCGATACTTTTCTTGCTCTTGCATGATCCCGTATGGTTGTTGGAGCTTATCTGATAAATTGGTTTAATTTTCTTTATGCTAGCCTGAAATTTGCTTTTACAAAATGTTTGGCTTTGAAAAGTTCCATTAAATAACTGTCGCCATAGGAAGATCTAAAATAGGTACTTAACGATAAATTCTACTCCATCATCTTCTCTCTTGCAAACATATCTCATTTCTGTAGCATCGGTAATTTCATGCCTATAAACTACTTACAAAACGAATCATTTCCCTGCATAATCACCCTGCCTCTCTTGTTGAAATGAGAATGAAAGATGGGCTTCTCTATTATCTAATCACTTAATTATTCTTCTTGCCTCACAGGTGAAGGCGTACGCAGACAACTTCAAATGGAAGGGTCCTCCTATGGAGCAGAACTAGTTCAAGTTTCTTTACCATTAATTCTATCTGGACATCGCGGCGAGGAAATGAAGGCGGGCAAGAGTTTGACATCCCCTCTTGTATATCCTTCCAAACTATTATCCTCTGCTCAAATCGACATCGAGGGCACAGAGCTATCAATAAATTAGAAAATTACTCTCTTGTTTTCATGTTGCTGTTAACTTTTGTGTGTGATAAAAGCCCAGAAATTAATGGCATATTTCTGCTATGTCCCTTTCAATGATTTCACCTCATTTTGTGTGTTATTTGTTTATACTTACATGTGTTGTTCAAAAGTAGTCATACACGTGCTATATATTTGTGTATTATCTGTAATAATGTTGTGTCCTGTCAACCCTTTCCATTACCAAATTTATTCACAGTTACAACTCACCAATCAGCCACGAAGAAATTCAATGAAACCAAAGTTTGCCCAGATGTCTTATTCGGACAAATGAACCATACATAAGCTTAGGACGATACAATTGAGATTATTTCGTGAAAGCCCCACATTCATTTCCTTGATCATTTCATATCAAGTTGCACCATGTCATTATCTACCCATCCACCACCCCGCCCTCCCTACAAAGAATTTACATACTGTAAGAAACCTTCCCATTTGCCACCATTAATTGTTATCCCGCCAAAGCGCGGTCTACGCTAATACCGCTCATGTCCGGTTGAAGTTGCTTCATGTAATACTTTGATCGCCTCGATATATTGATCTTCTTCCTCCTTTCCTCGGGTATGCAGTCAATTGTGCATTCAGAGAAGCCGCGCCTCATAAACCTGCAGTATCATCCATCGTTCATTTCAAATACTGTACAACATTACAACGAATATTCTACCCCACGAGGATTCAATCTATTCGATTTAAACTAAGCATCATTCATTATTACTCTATCAATTTCAATACTTGATTCAAATGACATACCAATCTGCCGTACGAGTTGTCAGCAAGAATAGCATTTGCAGCCCAATCGAACCTGCTTTCTTCTCAATATACTCTGCAAATCAAGAATGATAATTCGCTCATCAAGAACTATTTCCTTAAAAGTTTAAAACTAATACCGGTTATCCTACCGAATTCCCAATTCACCTAGTAATTTATCGCCCTGTCCTTGTCCCCGGCATTCAGGAGAAACGGCAATAGCAGCTATCTCTCCACACTTCTTGTCAAAGAAAGGGAACAAAGCCCCGCAAGCAATAATATGGCCTTCTCTCTCGCACACTATGAATGAACCCAAAGACTCAAGTAACTGCACCAGCCGTATTCCAAACATAAATATTTTAAGTTAAGAAACAAATTAAGAACACTCTGCACACACATGCACACGTGTGTGTATAGATCATATATAGATCACGCATACGAACCTCTTTGTCCGATCGTTTTATCAATGTACCAGAATGCTCTAAAGGCAACAAGAGCTGTTTGATCTCATCAAAGTCTGTCTCCTGAGCTGCCCGCATCCCCTCATAAAGATCACTAACAAACAGAAAGAACTTCCACCCATAAATACAGCCTAATTAAATGTCGAAAAAAAAGCAATATTTGTTCTATTCTAGAAGAATCTTTTTGGTAATCTCTTGCCACTTTTTAAACTGCATTAATCCCTCAGGTTAGCTCATTAATAACATGTTTAAGAGAATCCCGCATCATTAGATTGGATAACATACCTTGCCACCATTGTACCTACTCCATCTCTTTGAAACAATTCCTTCAGCAAAACTCCTCCGACTGTGCCGTCTAATAGATGCACTCGTTGCACGCCACCCTTTTGGAGTAAAATCAACAATATAATCTCAAATTCCTTTTTTTTTTATTTTTTTTCTCAGACATAGAGAGTTTGGTATCGGCGGAGACTTACCCTACAAACAAAAGCTGCGGCTGCGAGTTCAGAGAGGTAGCCATTTTGACGGCTCAGCCTCTCCTGACCTCCTATAGCAAAACCTTGCTCGCGAACCCAAAGCCCGCTCCCGTTGTTGAAGCCAACACCATTTTGAAATTTAGGAGCCCCCTGAATGACAGCCCCATTCTGGAAAGGGGCAACATCATTTGATCCATCGTACACAGAGCAGGTAATATCTTCTTGAGACACGGCTTTGACATAATTGGCCGCAGTTTCGCTTTGTTCCACTCGTTTCCGGATTAATCTGTCCGCATCATGAAGAGACAGAAAACGAATGAGCCTCCCACTTTCGTCTAGGATGGGGCCATCAATGACACAAATGAGTTTCTCCGCGCCAAGAGCAAGTGCACATGCTGTGGCAACTTCATAGGTACTGTACGACAAAGTCAAATATGGAAACATGGATTAGTGGTTAAGAACAGTGCTGCAAATATAGGAAAAGCATTTATACAACTTCAACAAGGAAATGATCTTCGAACGTAAATGTCAGATTAATTAAATGTACAACGGTATGGCTCTCTATTCGGCAACACACATTTAGCAAGCAAATATGAACAAAAACATTTATCGAAAGCTATCTAAGCATACTTGCAATTGAGTACTTCTCCAGAGCTTGAATAGGCAAGATTACTCAACATCACAATGCATTGTTTATCCAGTCTCTCTTGTATATGGTCGACATCGATCTTCTTGATTTCTCCGGTCCATCCATAATCAATCCCATCAACCACTCCTCTTCTCTGCCGATGAAGATTATAACAACATCAGTGAATCAAGAAAAGTTCAATGCTATTGATCATCTCATCTCATCTCATCTCACCTTAGCTGCAAGGAAATTGCCACTGGAAACGCTCACTCTACTGTTACACCTACTGTTGTCCCCATGGCGTCGGATGCCGCTTAAGGACGGCCCCGGCGATAGCTTCGCCTCAAGGATTAGTCGAATCCTCCCGGCAGCATCCATTGCAGCTCTGAGAGAATCAGCGTCTGTAATTCTGTAGCTTCCAACGTATTTGGGCTCAGAATCTGAGATAGAGTGCATCTAAAATTGTTACAACAGCATATGCATATCAAGAATCAAGTACAATCGACAGAAATATGGGAATGAAAAATCAAAATTATTCATAAATCATTCTCACCCCTCTCGGCCAACAGCCTGTCGATTTGAACGTGTGTTCCAGGTACAAGAACAAACTTAATCCCCAGCCCATGTAGCAGAGAAATGTCCTGCACATATATCACAGAATCGATGTGAGATTACTGATACTCATAAGCCTTTTCATACTAAAATTGATAACAAGGACTAATCGTGCCATGAGAATTGGATCCAAATTAGGGCTATCGATTATCTCCGCAGAAATCAAGACGACGAAAGTGCTCCCTCTGTGCGCCAGAAAGTACGGCCACGCCTCCCGGAAGAAGTTCACGAATAACTCATCCCTGTGGGCGGCGGCCGCCGCTTCAATCCCGGTGCTCTCGGCTTCCCCCGACAACGCTTTGATTCTCCTTCCGATCACACAATTCGAAGTCGTTTTCCCCCATTCAATTCGACTTTTCCCAACCGAATACACCCGATTCAGACAAGGGGACAAAATCGATCCACCCCGAAGACGACGGCAATTTAGGGCCGGTACGCTAGGGTTCGGAATCGAAACCGCCATAGATGAAAATCCCCGAATCAATCAATTCAAAGGGTAATTGATGATTGCGGAGTGCGGAGGCGGTGAAAACAGATTTATGGCGGCGGCGGCGGCGGCGGCGGTTTCGTACTTTCCGAGAAGAGCCAATCTCTTTTGCTCTCCGTGCTCCGTTTTAAAATTTAAAAATAAAAAAAAAATAATAATAATAAAATAATAATCAGTAAAAAAAACAAGAAAAAAAAAAAATCAGTGTCGGATTCGGCGATGGAGTACTGAACTCTGAATTCAAACAAACCCTAGACTTTGTCCCCACCATGGATTCCAATCATTGCTGTGCTTTCCTGTCTATATACGCACATGAAATCCGAATTTCCGGAGAAACGCCGGCACCAAAAACGCATAATTAAACTAATTAATAATAGTATTCAATTCAATGCAATGCAATGCAATGCAATGAAAGAGCATATATGAACACGATCTGCTAAATCTATGGAGGTAAGATAGGGGAGGGGAAGCGTAAAATAGGCATGGTGTGGAAAAAGTCCGCAGTCAGAAGAATAGCAGCAGTACGCACCTGAACAATGCTGTGTAGGTGAGGTCCTTCGACGATTTCGCTGGAGAGTAACATCACGACGGTACTACCGCTATGCAGCGGGTAGTAGGGGTGCGTGCTCCTCAATATCTCCACGAAGGTACAACTCTGATTTGCAGCAGCAGTGCACCTTCCGTCGCCAAACCACCAAGCGCGCGGCAGAGCATTATTCCTCCACCTCCCAAACCTGTGGATCGGATGCTTGGCGCACGATATCCGGCGGTCCGACGACGAGATCCTCGCCGGTGGCAGAGCGGCGGCGATCGCTGCGGCAATGCTCATGATTGCGTGATTGGGGTAGGTTATGGCGGCGGTGACGTATGCGGTAGGTGGGAGTGCAGAGAGCAGGTCAGTGGTGGCGATTGGTGCAGTGGATGTCCATGGCAGAGGAGCTCAATTCATTGCATAACCCACGAATGATTTCTGTAACAAATCAACTGTTCCAAGCGCCATTCCCAAACGCTCGCTAAGACGACGCACGTCGATGCTGATGCCATTCTATTTTTATTTTTAAAAATATATTAAATTAATAATAATAATAATAATAATAATAATAATAATTTGATGAAATTACTGAAAAATATTTAGACTTTCAAAAAAAAAAAAAAAAAAAAAAGATTGAAGCATGTAAATTTAATGTAAAAATATGTTGAATATTGTGAAATGGTCATCCAATTTAAAAGCTTGTAGGATATTTGTTGATTAGATATTATATAGTTCTCAAATATATATATAAATATTGTGTGGAAAAAATACAAAAATAATAAAATTGCTCTACAATATATGGGGTTTGTTTGTTTTAGTGTTTTGATTCGACGTAAAGTATGCATAATTGTGTTAATAATATAAAAAATAATACTATTCCCTTCAGCTTTAAGGATCCTATTTATTTATTTTTGAGAGTGGATATTTAAATATTAATTATTATATGATAATATATTACACATTAAAAATAAAAAATAAAAATACTTCTTCTTATAATACTATTATAATGACATTGTACCAAAAATTATATAAATATAAAGATATTTTTAATGTTAAGTATAATAACACAAAAAGTAAATTAAATTTTTAGAGTAGATGGAAATATTATTTTATGTTTAATATTTAATTTTGCATGTGAATAAAATATATATTAGGAATTGTGTCAGAATATATGTTTTGAACAAATAAACTGATATATATATATATATATTTTTGAGATAATTTTAGCTTATGCGGAAAGGATGATCTTAAACTATTTTCCAAATGGAAATGATCTAGATTTGGAGATAATTATCCACACGAGCGCGGACACGATAACGACAAGATGCGTGTTAGAATCGAAAATGAATAAGAGTTTATTACAAATTCTTTTTGAAGAACTTACTAAATTAAGATTTGATCGATGAATAATGTCATACTTAGGATCTATATTCACCAACTAGCAAGTTTGTCGGGATACAAATTCTTACTAGCGAATTCAATGTATATTTATGTAATTCATAGCACAACTAAAAATATTTTTAGGCATTTTTATAAATACTTGCTATATTGAAATATATATTTTTTTTAATACGATATGTTATGTAAAAATAGATATTAAATTTGAATTTTTTAAAAAGAAAATTTGAGATATTACATATTCATATAAATAAATAAACCCCCGGTCGAACCTAATGCCCTGCAAACCAGGCTTGACGGGAAAGTCACGCTGGGCGAACCATGTGTTGCGGAAGTTTGAACCCATGACCTCATGGTTACAAATTCAAACAAGTTTGCATTTTATATATACATTGTGTGTGAGAGAGAGATGACAAATTTGATGATTTTTTTTTTTTAATTTATCAATTATTAATTATTAATTAATTAATTAATTTATTTATAATTCAAATATCTAAAATACTAAAGTATTTGAAAATTTCTATGCCAAATTGAGGAAGACCAAAAATTCATAGCAAACTAATTTTAGTTACGAGGAAATAGAGGGTTTTTTCAATTGGTCATATTAAGAGTACTTAGGTGAAGTGTTTGTCATATCCAATGAAATAATACAAATTTAAATTTAAATAATATTTAATATAATATAAATAAAATTGATAAGATATTTCAATAAATGTTTAATTCTTCAATATATATTAAATAAAAATAAATTTCAAATAACTTTTAGAAAGAAAAGAAAAAAAAAAGAACTTTATAAATAGTGCAATATCATGACCTCAGAGAAACACAGGTGGAACCAAGATATAGTTTTATGGGGCTAATTTTATAAAACTATAACAATAACATAATCTATTGAATTTGTTCATTATATATATATTTTTTTATAAATGTGTTTTGTTTTTTTTATATTAGATATATAAAATTATATTGATAATATAAAAATAATATTTGGCATTGAATTTTTAATTTTTTATAAAAAAAAAAGATATATGTTATGAAAAGGGATCACCAGTCCTATCCAATCTCATCAAATATATTGTATATATAAGTGTATATACATATTATATATATATATAATATTTAATAGATTTAATTATAAACTTGTTAATAATTGTTTAAAATTTAAAATTATAAAATTATTTATTATAAATAAATTAGACATGAGTTTAGAAGACACGAGGGAATAATTTTGTTAGAGATAGCCTAAATTAAAAATAATTAAGAAAAACAGAAGGGATGAATTAAATTAAGTACTATTTAATAATAAAATAATGGAACTATGAATCATGCATCATTAATTATGTCCCATTTGGTTACGATTCTTTTAAAATTTAGAATTTTAGAAATCTAAAAATATTTTACAAGAAAAATATATATTTATGTTTATTCTGACATTCGTTGTAAAATCCCTTAAGATAATAAGGGTCCAAATCAAACAATTTAATTGTCCAGATCCAATGATGTGTTCTTTAAAAATAAAATAAAATTTGATATATGCCTAAATTAACTAGACTAACAAAAAATAAATTGATATATGCATAAAGAAATATATAAAATAATAATATTGAATTGATGATGGATTGCTTGGAAAATAAATTATTCCACCTATGGCTTATTTATGTACAAACCCAACTAAGAAATATCATAAAATGTAAAAACAACCTAACTAGCCTACTAAAATAAAATAAATTATTATTCAAATTTTAAGATAAATCTCATCAACTAACTCTGAATAAGTTTTGACTAAATATTTTTTGTGGATAAACATTGACTATATATAACTTCTTGAAAGAATTAAAAGTTAAAACAACTCATGACTAAAAAAAGGTTTGGCCTTGATCGGTATAAATTAATAAATTATTAATAATAATTATAATATTATTTTATTATTTTTTATATGAGTAATGCTAATAGTATTTTAAAAATATGAATCAATATACTCCTCTGTCGTGCACAATTATGCGACATTTTTTTAGTTGTCCTATTCAATTAGGTCAATTAAAAAAAGTTAACAAATTTTTAATCACAATTAAATCTTAACTAATTCAAATTAATCTATTTAGTTTTTTATTCACAATTAAAATAAAAAATTATCTTAATGAGCCGAGCGGAAATGAACACGGACATAATAATAATTATTAAATGAACTGAGCTCAAACAAACAAAAATTCAGCTCGTATTTTTTAATGAACGAATACGAGCCGGAGTCGAGTCCTTAACGAACTGAACGCAAACATGACAAGTTCGGCTTGTTTACAATTCTATTTATTAACTTGTTAATATACTTTGGGATTCTAAGACTATTCTGGCCTATAGATAATGTGAAAAAGTAAATTAATCATCGATTATTGAGCGAATAATCTATTATTTTGATTCATACTTCACTGTCTAAGAGTCTTTCGTCTGACATTTGCGACTGATGAATCAAGTGATTAATTCACTTATCTTTTTATCGTACTTTTTAATGAACTAATGAACACATAGCTACGGGCCAGGGTTTCTTCTTCTTCTTCTTCTTCTTCTTCTTCTTCTTCTTATCCAAGTTCAGAAATGCTATGCAAGGCTGGTCTCCACCGGCCGGAGCTCCTCTGCCGGCCAGTACCGCCGCCAAGTTGGTGGTGCTCTGTCTCTGTGGTCTGGGAATTAAGCGACAACTATTAATAAATAAGTATTAATTAATTTTAAAAAGAAGAATAAAATAAATTAAAGGATAATTTTAAAATAAAAACAATTTTTTTTTTTTTAAAAAAAGAAATAGCACATGGTAGGTACATAAATAACATATACTACTACTATTGTGTTTTAATAGTTTAATTATCCATTCTATAAGTGCTATATCAATTGTAATTTATCCATGGCTAAAAAAAAAATTGTTAGGTCCAACATTCCATTCGATACTTTAAAAAATGATAATAGTCTTTATTTAATTATTTAACACCAACCAAAAAAATATAAATAAATAAATTTAATTCAGCAAATAGCTAGGCCATTGGGTTTTTATTAATAAATTCAAGTCAACTTACAGTGCAACTGCATCGATGTCACATTTAAAGTGCAAATTCCTGTAAAATTTTCAGCAACAATTTATGATATTTGTGACGTGAAATTTAGTGTTATTGACATTCAATAACAAATTAATTATTTGAGTTTAAAGTGTTTATAAATAATTTTACTTGCACGAAATATTTATGCTCTAAATTAATTGAATTGAATTGTACAAACACGACCTTCATATTTGGGGTAAATAATTATATTTATTTAAAAAATTACCACACATAATTAACCTGATGAACCTAAGCACAACCTGAATTTTGAAATTATATTTATCTGACATTCTGAAATAATTATGCTGTGTGTTATTTTAGTATTTAAAATTGTTTTAGCTATTTGAAAATTATGAAAATATTAAAATTTTATATCACATTAGCAAAACAAAGAAACACAATTTCGAATTGATATCAAACAGATCTTAAAATCATACTCGCTCCGTTGCCGTTTCTGTTAAACTAATTAGTTATCTTAATTATCTATTTTAAAACGCTAAACTGTATATGGGACAGAGATAGTAATAAATAAATGAACCACTCCCGGGAGCCGAGCTCCCAGAAGCAACACACTGTTGATTGTGTGGCGACAACACAAATCAACGGTATGACACTTGGGGGAGGTCGAGTCCGGGCTCTCCAAATTCCAAACAGTAAAACGCTTAAGCAAAATCCATACCTTAGGAAAACCCGCTTGTGGATCCGGACCCGAGACCCGATTCGGATCCGACTCCATGGATACGCTGTCCTTCAACAGCTTCCCTAACCTGACGCTCTTCTTCGCGGCGAAGACTTTCAACACATCTGCACAGATCATTCCAACAATTCAATCATGGCGCAATTCCAAACACTCAATCAATTAATCAATCGGTTGATTTTCACCTTCGAAGGAGATCAGTCGGTAAACATGTCCGACGGCGAGGGTATCCCCCGGCCGGAGAAGCTTCATCTGCTTCACCGGCGGCGCCTGGGTATCCGCCGGAAACATCACCTCCTGCACAACGTAGTGGCCAGGGTTGGAACTCATGATCTCATTCGCCGTCACCGGACCTGAAATTCTCTCCGCCTTGCTCCCGCCGCCGGGATGCTGTATCACCACCACGTCCGCCACCGCCGCCGCCTGGCAATTCCCCATTATCCCCAAAATCCGCCGCCGCCGCCGCAACAATTCTCAGAGCTGAAACCTCACGGCAATCAACATAATAAAAAAAACTGAATGAACGAGATGAAATTATCGCAAAATCAAACAACAGAAAACCAAAAAGAGCAAAACAACAGAAATTTCTAGGGTTTATCGAAAAAAAATTGGGATCGAATTAATTGCGTAACAGTAGAGATTTAAATAGGAATTGGAAACGTGGAGTGTTGGGTAGAGAGAGCTGCCAAAACGGCCTGAAAATGGCAGAAACTGCTTAAATGCAGGGAGGCAGTGAAAGTGGGTTTGTTGAGGCCAATATACACAAAATCCCGGGACTCGAGAACCCGACTAAATCTTGACTGCTGATACAACAGACCGTACATAATCAACGGCAATTACCAAAGTGAGTGCTGCCGTTCCTGGACCTGCTAACGAAATTTTGATATAAGTTCGTTGGCGTATGAGTAAAATTTCACCGACAGTAACACAACGGCATTTTTATTTTATTGTTTTTTTACGGAGTTCTGTAATTACTAAAATATATATTTGGTCGACAGTTGAATAAGTAATTTATTTAATTTTTATAAATAAAAAAAGTAAGTAAATAAATTGGTTGATATTTTATTATGCATAAGTAGGTCCGTTGAAATCTGTTATGAGTGCGAATAATCTCTTTTGGCAATTCGCTAATTTTATCCTTATTTTTTAACAGGAAAATAAATATAACAGTTTTTTTACTTAAAAGTAAAAATGTATAAACAAAATTTAGTGGAGGAATAACTGAAATTAATGAATTACCGGAATTTGGCCTAAATATTGACTGAAACGGCAAAGTGGTCAAATAAAAAAAAGACCAAAAGAGTATTAGAAAATAGGAAAAATTAAAATGCTTTCGTTGAGAGTCGAACTCAAGACCTCCCGCTTACTAAACGGGTGCTCTAACCAACTGAGCTACGAGAGCTTTTGAGAAAAGTTTAATACTTTTTACATATAACTATAATTATATTAATAGAAATTAGATTATATTTTTATTTTGAAATAAAATTCTAGAAAATATGATTGCAATTTTCGTCGTAAAAAAGGATTAAACTTTAGAATTTTTAATTTATATTTTCGAAATAAACATGATTATTATATTTATATAAATAATCTTAGTAAGTATAAGTTTTATTTAATGGGATGAGTTTGAATTTAAGAGCAAATTCTAAATAAATAAATAAACCAATTTAAATTACTTCAAATATGAAATACCTCATAAGTAAAATTTATTCTTTTATTACATAGAGTATTTGCAATTTGATTATAAAGAGTATTTGAAATGACAGAGATTTGGTATTTGTTTAAATACTATTTTGATGTAATATTTTATGAAAAAAAAAATATTATATTTTTATTAAAAACTGTGCAAAGTAAATAACATTAATTCTGATTTAAAATACTAAAAGAACAAATTGATAATAAATCTAATGATTTTGATATAATTATTTGAAATAAATTTAACTTACATCATTCCGCCTAAATGGTGCATTAATTTGTTCATAAAAAATATTTTAATATGATATATTATAAGATAAAATAATATATATTTTATTAAAAACTGTGCGGAACAAATAATATGATTTTGATATAAAATGCTAAAAGAACATATTGCAAAAATATTTAAAATGATACAACCAAGTTTGAAATATTAAAAGTGGTGTATTTGAAATCTACAATTAACTTCAAAGATTTAAAATGTATTTTATTGTCAAGAAAAATTAATAAATTTGATAAAATTATTGGAGATATTCCTTTCAAACCAAATAGGGTCTAATATAAATTTTTAAATAAGAGAATGTCTTTTATAAGGAGTGTTTGTTTTGTTAAAAAAAAATAATAATAATAATAATAATACATTTTTTTCTAAAAATATATATTTTTTAAAAAATTAATATAGTATACATATTTATTATTTTTATATTATATACACAATTTTCTCTGAAAAATTTTATATAAAAAAAATATTTTCAAATTATTTTACTAAACAAACAAACTCTAACTTTCTTTGTAATTTGGATTTGAATTAGAATTTTAATTTAACATTTTATAGAATATTCATTTTGTTCCAATTCAAAGGAGAGAATATTCATTTTGTTCCAATTCAAAGGAGATCATTTGAAATTTTACGATAAACTAAAAATAATAATATTTGTGGTTAGTAAAAATGTAAAATAATTTTGATATTTTTATCATTATAAATTAATTATATATGTACTAGTATATTTATTTTAATTTATGTAAATGTTAAAAATGATCTTTTAATAGTATTAATTTATAATTACTCTTATTATAATAAAAAATAAATAATTTTAAATGAAATAAACTAAAATAGTAAGAAGAATAATCTAAATTAGAACTGAGAAAATATGTGATATGAAGAAATAATAATTTTTTATTAAAAATTAATTTAGTATTTTGATTTGAAGTTCCTTTTATGTATGATATAAATAATTTTGTTGATAATATAAAAATTAATATTTTATATTGGATGTTGATTTGTGAGACGATAAAATATGTTAGTGATAATAGTGTGTGTTGGAAAATTTAGCAAACAAACCCTAAATAATAAATCAAATATAGACATTTGTTTAAGAAACAAATAAAATTTTTATTTATTTATTTATTTTTATTTTTTAAAAGAAGTGTATAATATAAATAGTACTCCATCTCTGGTAATTTAAAGTATTTTTTTTTTTTTTTCATTTTTGTTTGCAAAATGATTTACTTTCTCGTCGGTTTAATTTGTCTATTATTTTTATTTTAATTTATCCTAAGCAATTTGTCCTTCTGAAATATAATTATATATTTTTGTGAAATTTTAGATATCATAATTTATAATTTTTTAATTTTAATTATATTATTTATTTATTTTAATTTTAATTTATAATTATTTTTATTATATCATAATTATTTTTACTACTTATATTTTTTAATTATTTGTTAATTACTTCATCAGTCTCAAAAGTATAGTCTTATTGGGTTGAACACGAGATTTAAGAAATATTAATATTATATCGATAGTCGGTAAAAAGTATGGATAAATGATTTTTTTACCCTTTTGAGTATATTAGTGTAAAAAGTAGTGGCAGCTGTGTAATAATAATAAAAAAATATGAATAATTTTACGGTGATACGATTATTTATAGAAATGAGATTATTATTTTGAGACGAATAAAATAAATAAAGAAAATTATTGTAGTGAAATGGAAGGTGGAAATATATAATACTCCTACTCTAATTAGAGTGGTAAAGTTAGCTGAAAGAAAGTACTAAGAGGGAGAGAATATTAATTAGTCCTATTTAGTTAATTCGAGTGTATACATAATTAATTAAATTATCTTTTTTTCTTTTTTAATTTTTAATTTAAATTTTTTATTGTCATTCTCTACGGCACGTGTTGATAGTTACTTATCCCAATTAATACTTAATTAATTAATTAATTCTTCGATTATTAATTAAAAAAATTGAAATCAATGGCAGAGTAGACGTACGTACGCAGCGCCACCGCCACCGCCGGCAGCAGGAAACCCTAATCGACCGGCGTCGCAAGCCCCAACTCTATCCGCCATTAATACTAACCTCTCAACCGCCACCGCTCACCGCCGCAGATCAATGGTAATGAATCATATGCTATTTTTGCCATATTCTCTGTAACTCCTTCCGTCAGCCGACCGCGATTTTTTCTTCTCTCCGCGCTCATCTATTTTGGAAGCGTTCGCTAGCTTTTCTCGTGTTCGGCGGATACGTCGGCGGAGATTTGACGCAGCTGGTGACGCACTCGATTTCTTATTCCAGATGGCTTGCCGTTTCGCTACCCGACGAAAATTGATTAGCCCCTACGTGGTTAGCGTCTGAATTTGGGGATTTAGGGCTTTCTTCCAACTGCGATATAATGGCGTCCGCTGAGGACTTCTCACCCTCGCAGGATCCTCCAATGGCGAAGGGTAATACTAATAGCGGTAGGAGCAAAGCGACGTCGTTTTTATCCGACGGATTCCTCTTCGTCGGCGGAGCTCTGGTCGCGTTTCTCGTGGTTTGGGCTCTTTGGTCCTTCTTCAGCCCTCCGCCGCCTTCGTCTGATACTTTCTCCACCGCCGCCTTCCCCGACCGGAAATCCGCAAAATTCGACAACTTCGCCACCTCCTCGGAGGCGCCGGAGAGTTTTTTATCAACCAAATGCCCAACAACCGCTTCGGCATCGGATCCGGACCCGGGTCACGACCCGCCCGACCCGACCTTCTACGACGACCCGAACCTGACCTACACCATCGACTCGCCGCCGGTGAAGAACTGGGACGAGAAGCGGCGGCGATGGCTGGAGCAGCACCCGTCGTTCGCGGCGGCGGCGGAGGATCGGATCCTAATCGTGACCGGATCTCAGGCGACGCCGTGCAAAAACCAGATCGGCGATTACCTCCTCCTGAAATTCTTCAAGAACAAAGTCGACTATGCCCGCCGGCACGGGATCGACGTCTTCTACAACAACGTCCTCCTCCAGCCGCAGATGTTTTCCTTCTGGGCGAAAACGCCGACGGTGAAGGCGGCGATGTTAGCCCACCCGGAAGTCGAATGGATCTGGTGGATCGACTCCGACGCCGCCTTCACCGACATGGACTTCGTCCTCCCCCTGGATAGGTACAAATCTCACAACCTGGTCATCCATGGCTGGCCGGACATGATCTTCGAGAAGAAGAGCTGGACCAGCATCAACGCCGGCGTCTTCCTGATCCGCAACTGCCAGTGGGCGATGGAGTTCATGGACGCCTGGTCGAAGATGGGGCCGCAGGCCCCGCAGTACGACAAATGGGGGCAGATCCAACGGTCGATATTCAAGGACAAGTCGCTGCCGGAATCCGACGACCAGACGGGGCTGCTGTATCTGATAGTGGAGGAGCAGGAGAAATGGGGGAAGAAGATATACATAGAGAGGGACTACTATTTCGAGGGGTATTGGCTGGAGATCGTGGGGACGTTGGAGAACATATCGGAAAACTACGCAGCGGTGGAGAAGGAGGCGGCGGCGGCGGCGCTGCGGCGGCGGCACGCGGAGAAGGTGGGGAGGGCTTACGGGGAGGTGTGGGCGGAGGTGCTGAAGAAGAAGGGGGTGGGGTACGGCCGGGGGAGTGGCCGGCGGCCGTTTATTACGCATTTCACGGGGTGTCAGCCGTGCAGTGGGGACCACAACCAGATGTACTCCGGCCAGACGTGCTTCGACGCCATGCAGAAGGCGCTGACCTTTGCTGATAACCAGGTGCTCCGGGACTACGGGTACGTGCACCCGGACTTGCTGGATCCGGCGGCCGTTGCGCCCCTGCCGTTCGATTATCCAGCCTCCTTGTGATTGCGAATGGACGGTGGTGATGATGATGATGATGATTCGACTAAGTGTGTGCTGGTTATAGTTGATATTTATTCTGTTGTGTTGTATAGAGGGAGTAGTTTGGTTGAGCTTGTTGAGATATTTATATTTTGTTATATTTTATTTTAGATTATTATTATTTGAATTTATTAGTTTTTGTAGGATTTGATTTTTTATTCTTAATACAAATATACAATTATGCTGAAAGAAAAAAAATGGATTTGATTGCCATGGTTGAATTTATTTTTACTTTTAAGCAAATAACAATCTATCGTGGCATATGTTCAAAAAATTGCAAGCTTTATAAAACATTTATATATGAGTTTTAATTAATATATTTGAAAAGGTAAACACTTATACATTGAAATTGAAAATAAGTTTTTAAGATCAAAACTAATTTTTTGATGTATCTTTTAAGTATTATAAAACTCGGTTAATCACTCTACGATACCATGCCATTGCCTTCATCTTCTTCCCCATCGCCCTCGCCGCCATCGATAACTTCACTGAACATATACAGGCTCTGATACTCCATCAAGTACTGAGTCGACCGTTTCACATCATAGAACAGTTCATAAACCCGACTCACATCTTCCATCTTGACAATCTTCCCCTTCCGTTTCTGGCAGGCCAATGCAGCCGAGGTTATAAGGTTTATTGCGTACCTCAACGACGTGTCTTCGCCAATCTTTGTCAGCAGGACTTTGGCATCGTCCGACATCTCCACGTCCTCCTCCTGGCATCTGATGTCTAGAATCTTCCGGATGTCGTCCGGCGTGTACGGCTGCGTCGAGATGATCAATAGGCGGTCGAGGAAATCGATTGGGATGCCATGTGGAGACCTGTAGTTTGTGCCCCGGATGGAAGTTATTCCTCGATTCGTTGCAACGACGAGTATGGGTGCCATGTCATTCTCCAGCGCACGATTGAGGAAGGAGAAGCACTCGATGTCCAGCATGTGGACTTCGTCGATGAAAAGGACACCGGGGACTATTTCGGCTTTCCCTTCTTCCCTCCACTCCGCAACTTTTGTGTCGATTTGTTCTCGAACTTCTGACCGGATTTCACCCGTGTCCCCTGTGAAGAGTGCCAGAAAGCCCTGAGTCCTGAACAGAGTAAGGAGATGTTAAATAACCATTTCATTTAGACAAGAAGCTATGTTATTTTCTATTCGATTCCTTTAGACTACCCACTCATGTGCAAGAAGGGTTTCTTGTTTAGAAACTTTTTCGAGACAAGTTTTTATGGATGAAGGCCATTCGATAAAAAAAAGAATGGGAACTTTTGCTCCAATAGCACGACCACCTACTTAAAAGCTTCATATCATAGGGAGATGCATAATTTTGCATTCATTTCTATTTTAAGTCGCATTCACTTTATATACAATTCCATTGCAATAAACGACCTTAACATCAAGAAACAAAGGTAAAATAAGAGCACAACAATAATGGAAAGAATCCAAGAACAACCCACATTTTCGAACAAATTAATCATCCAAATGACAACAATGCTAAGTTGCTGATGGAGAAAGACAAATATATAACCACATAACACCTAATAGCCTGCGAAAAGAAACACCCTCGACAAACAAATTAAAATAAGTGTTATCTGAACCCGAAACTCATAAAATTGCCTCACAAGTCCTCTTTCTATAATCGAAACATTTATTAGAGTTTTGCATTCAATGGCAGCATTTGAGCATTAACAACCATTATGCAAGACATAATCCTCAATACAATTAGCAATGTATATAACCAATTCAAGATTTCAGAGCACAAACAGATGAAGTTTAAATCATTCAGAGTATCGAATTCCATGTTAAAGTGAGAAATAGGCACCTGCTGTTGATGACATCAATTTCGTGAAGAGTGACACAATGCACGATCTCCTTCCTCTTCTGCAGCTCCCCGTCGGGGCACTGCACGAATTTCGTTTGGGGCCCCATGGCGTCGTAGTCCCGGGACCTCGAGATCGACCGCCCGAGCTTGGTGATCTTCCCGGACGCCTTGTCAATGGCGATTACATCCCCACTCTGCACTTTCTCCTTCCCCAACGCCTCTATCATCTTCGCCCCCAAATCGTACACCGCCTCCAGCTCCGTGGTCTTCATCGTCAGCTTTCCCGTCTTGGCCGCCGCCCCGGCCGCCGCCGGACGGTCAATCTGGATCTCCACAACCTCCCCCTCGATCACCTCCGCCTCCTCCTTGATGCGAACGCCGATCGCCTTCCGGAACGCCTGCATCAGCGCCTCCGTCTTCGACATTTCCAGGGAGAACAGCTCGCTCCCTGCGAGCATCGCGAAGGGGGTTTCCTGGCCGAGGGATTTGGCCATGCCCATGGCGATTGCGGTCTTCCCGGTCCCAGGCTGGCCAGCGAGGAGCACGGCCCGGCCCGCAATCTTACCGTCTTGGACCATCTTGACTATCACGCCGGCGGCTTTCCGGGCGGAGATTTGGCCGACCATACCCTCGGAGGAGGAGCGGGCTTCGAGGGAGGAGTCGAGACCTAGGCCCCTGATGTGAGAGTGCGCCCCGATTCTCTCGATTCGCGTCAGGTCTCCCATCTCTGAGAGCTTAATCTCCGTCGCCGCCATAGCTGAATCGAATCTGTGGAGATGATTCAGGAGAAGAAGAACTCAAGAAGAAGAAGGGTTTTGCGAGAGAAGAAAACAGAGTAAGAAAGAGGTCTAGGGTTTTAGGTTTGGGGAATTTTCTCAACTGGAAGCCACTCAACACATTTTAATTTTCCATTTCTTTTTCAGTTTTTTACCCAAGTATAAAACAAAGTCAAGTTTAACAGTACGATTTTATCAATAATCACTGCTCAGCCTTCTGACCAGCAGCAGTCAATTTCTTTGACTTTCTTCTCTTCCTCACCCGATTCTCTTTTGATACACATGTTGTCTCTCTTTCCCCTCCAATTTCATCAGCGGCATCCCGCCGGGAACTTGAGCTTTCAGGCATATTGCTTTGAAACTCGGGTTCACCGTCGCTCGAACCGGGCAGCTGAGGTCCAACGATCTTCCTCCGCGGGGCAGCAGCAGCTTCCCTCAGCTTCTTCTTCCGGCGCCTCTTCCGCTGCGCCCTCGTCGGCTTTTCAGCACCACCAGTCGACGGTGACGAGTATGCTTCCTCACAATCCGGCTCCTCCACTGCAACCATGTACCAGAATTATTCCGAGAAGAATATCAATGATTTAGTCCAAAATGTAAGTATTGTACTTTTGACGAACACCTGGTGGGCAATTCAATGTATCGGCCAAGGCCAATTTCCCTTCTTCTTCATCCTGTTTTAACAGAAGATATTAAGCGATTATCCACGCATTCTGGTATTAAAAAAGTTACCGGTTTTCGAGGTAATAATACTCGGCGAGGCGACGGCGGCGGCGACGGCGACGGCGACGGCGACGGGGGAGGAGGATAGAGCATTTTGAGAAGGGCTTCATGGAACTTGCGTTGCTTCTTTTCTTGCTTCATTTTCTTGCGAGATTTGATCGAGTTCGCCCGATGCAGAGATTCAAATTAGACCTGTATTGAAGATTTCCTTGATTTGGGAGGAATGGCTAAAACTCAAAACTTGGAAGATATTTATATAAGATAACAAAACGACGCCGTATAGATGGAAATCGTGAGCTTCTACTGCTTGCATATACCGTTGGTTCTTCTTCTCCCACCACATCCCCAAATCAATACGAATTACGGATTTCTCTCTTCATGGCGACAATGATTTCTCGCCAGATTCTCACGCAGTCCACACCTATGATTCCCCCATCAATTCGTCATCAGAAATCGCTGTTTTCATCAAAATCTTTCGCAGCTTCGAGGGAGTCAATTAGAAAGGTTCGTTTTTCGGAAAAGCCGAGAGGATTGTCGCTCGTGGCCATGGCATCTTCAACCGCTACCGTCTCCGTGCCTGAGGACATCGGGGAAGTGCTCGGGGAAGTAAGCATCTTCACAGCTGCTGGTGAGATCGTCAAGTTCAATGATCTCTGGGATCAGCAGGAGGTATTGTTAGTTCCGTATTGTTCTTCCTGATACTTATGGTCCTCCTTGTGCCATTTATTCCTAATTTTTCACTCTAGTTAAGATTCACTTATTTGTTGAACAGTGTCAATTCCAACCTTCCAAGATAGGTTTACTCAATAATGGTGAAATCAAGCTAGTTCAATTATTTGCAGAAGTCTATCTTATTAAGTTATAGTAAGAACAATGAGGTCTGAAAAACTTCCTCAGCATTAAGTTTCACTGTTCTGTACTTTGTATTGTATGCATGAGCTATGCTTCTTGAACCTTTTGCAACCGATAATGTGAAAACTGGGATGCCAAAATTATTTAAATTGAAGTTGGAAAGAAGATCTGCATCTTGAACAATTACAGTCAGGAAGTTCCTATCAGTCACTGAAAAGCTCCAAACAATGAAAGCTGAACTGAATCATTTTCACAACCAATATAGTTCTGTTTCTGTCTTCAATTTGGGAATTTACTTTGGAAACTTCTCTTTTAGGGAGTGGCAGTTGTGGCGCTTTTAAGGCATTTTGGATGCTTCTGTTGGTAAATTGCTAACTTCTCCCTTGGTGTTTTTGTGATCGACTGAATATTTGAAAATACATGTGGTATTTTTGTTCCTTTTTTAGTTGGGAGCTTGCTTCGGCACTCAAAGAAGTAAAGGAGAAATTTGAATCTGCTGGAGTGAAGTTAATCGCCGTTGGTGTTGGTACTCCTGACAAAGCTCGACTTCTTGCTGAAAGGGTACTGTGTTAATCCTTTCCTTTTTCCTCAATGAGTCTGTGCATGTATATTGAAAGGGGAATGGCTCAATGAGAAAGTGTATATACCTTTTAAATTTGATCATCATATGGTTGTCTAGGGTGCATTTTAGAGTAGCAGCCTAAATACAGGTTAATGATGGAAGTGTTATAATTGGATGATCTGTATAAATTTGCCCTTCAAGTTTTCTATCATTTCCAATTGAGTACTCCGTACCATGGATGAGCTTTTGTGTGCTCATAACTATCGTATGCACATTCTTCAGCCTTATAACATTTCAAAAGGGTTTCGAAAAATGGTTTTGATTTCTATACATATCAGGAAATTATCATATTGCAACTTAAACTCGAGTCTTCTCCTTCTTTTTTTCTTCTTCTTTAGATACTTTTACTTTTTTATCGCTTTCCTTCATTCTCTTTTAATTTTATATTTTTAAGAAGGCTCAATAATCTTAAAATTTGAATTGCTACTTCTACTATTAAATATGATGCAGTTTGTTCTGGATTGTAACTAATTAATTAGTTGACTACTCTTACTAGTTAACTGTGAAAACATTTTTTTGCTAAGTGAACTCTGTGTGTATTTGTTATGAGTATGCACAACTTTAACTAGTTATGTTGTATGATTTTTGCATTAGACGACTTATAACAGAATTCAGTACGGCAATTCATTTGCACTTTATAGTCTCTGTTAGTATTAAAAGGAAAATGAACTACAAAAGGAAAATGTTATTATTCATGTGTCCCGTGAGGATGGCGTATTGGTGTGGGTGAACTTGTGAACGTGCGCATTCAAAGAGTAAAAACTGCGTCGCTATTATTTTTTACATGGATATTGCATATTTTATGTTCTTAAATAACTATAAAAGGATCTTATGCCACTGAGATGTGTACAAATTTAAATAGGTTTATTATCCAAAAAGTGGAATATATTTCAATCATTAGCAAATTACATACACAAGAATACATAAAACGTACAATAAATTCAAATGTACTTCCAAAAATGACATAATAGGCATAAAATTGTTGTACAAAATTGAGGGTGTTTCATTTGTGTGTGTGTGTGTGTGCGCGTGCGCGCGCCTTTAATTTTTATTTTTGGGTGTTTTTGGTTTTAGATGTTTTTGAACTGAAAATAGAGATGCCATATTTGAATGAAAATTGAGGATTGGATGTGATGCTTTTGGAGGGAAATTGTAGATTATAGAGTTGAAATGGAAAAAATTATAGAGTTGAAATGGAAAAAAAACACAAATGGAAAAAACAAAAGGTGTAAATCAGTAATGTTAAGCAAAGATATATGTGTAATGATGTTTTTGGATGCCTTAAGATAAATGAAACAAAAAATCTAATCTTAATTTCTACAATTCTAAATATAGCCTTTTTTATTCTTAAACAGTAGTTAGTATAAGTTTTTTAAGAACAGTGATGACTTATCCGAAAGTAAGTGCATGTAGCAGTAAAGAAATTAGATTTCCTGTTGCCATCTATGGTTGTGAACCACAATGGTATCTCTCAAAATTGAGATGTTACTCGTTATCAAAAAATAAAACATAAAAAATGAGATGTTATGATTCCTTATATTTCTGTATTTGGCAGTATGCTATTCTGCCATCCTCGCCAATTTTACTAGTATCATAAAGTACTTATTTTCTATTTGATCTCCTTCTAAGGTTGTGTCGTAATATGCTTTAGAATGACTTTATATTGCTGTTCACCTAACTTGTTACTTTGTTCTGCCAGTTACCATTTCCATTAGATTCTCTTTACGCTGATCCCGAGCGCAAGGTAACTCATAAATGCAACTTAGAATAATATATTTCATCCATGGTATACCGCAGCCAATTTGCAGTCACAATTATCAATTTTCAGGCATACGATGTTCTGGGCTTATATTATGGTTTGCGGCGCACATTTCTCAACCCGGCTAGTGTATTACTTCTCAACCCAACATTGAATGCTAAACTAACAAGCCACTTGGTTATATCTTAACTTTTTAGATTTCTCTATGTTGAAAATGAAACAGGTCAAAGTATTTTCCAGAAGGGAGGCAGTGAAGAAGGCTATGAAGAACTACACTATCAAAGCTACTCCAGATGACACAAGCAGTGTCCTGCAACAGGTATTTAATTATACATCTTCCTCAATCTCTTGCATGTGTTGTAAACTGGTTTCTGTCGTGAGACAAATGATACTCTCTGATCGTCGATTATTAGGGAGGGATGTTTGTCTTTAAAGGAAAGCAGTTGCTGTATGCAAGAAAGGATGAAGGGACCGGCGATCATGCTCCATTGGATGAAATATTCGACATATGCTGCAAAGTTCCCGCATCTTGAAATTTTCAATACTTGAATTGTCATTAGGTATGTGATATGGTCGAAAATCTAACCCTGCACGCCTGAGCTTGCACACACACACACACATCTATATGGTTGTGACAAATTATACACTATTGGATACCCTAAGAAATTGACATAAAAATTCAATATCGTGTATAGAATTTTATTAAAGATAGGAGCCATACAGTTAGGCTAATAAATTCGATTGAGTTTGGTAGATTGTTATATGAAAATTTATTTCGTGTGGATTCCTGAAATCAAGGAATTATGTTGAAACATGTCAAAACAGGGAGATAATCAAGAAAATGACAGCCCAGAAATAATTGAACACAATAGTGTAGGTATGATTTTAGTAGTATTCAATACACATATATATATGTATTGATTGATGTCGATTATTCGAAATATCTGTGGTAGTGTGGTGTGTGGTTGAGCAGCAGTTCTACATAACAGGAGACACCAAATCTCGAGCCTTGTTGGGAGAAGCAAATGTCTCCCAAGATTCGGTACGATTTTGTTTCTGTGTCATGAATTTATATTGGCTTCCTGTTTGTTCTTTTATTGAGAAAAAACTTCTTATACTTTCCAGAAAGTCTGCTGCTTTTTTTTTGTGTGGCTCATCTTATTGTAGTTGTGGGTGGGGAAGGCTTGAGGGTTTTATTCTTTTATTTATTTTCCAATAAAATAAATTTGTAGACAAATTCACTTTGAGGGTTATTCATCTTTGGGATGAGATTAGAGTCAGCAATTTTTACTCAATGTAGAAAAATAGTTAGAAGTGATTCTAGAAGATGAATAATGGTGGTAAATGTAGGTAGGTAGGTAGGTAGGTAGGATGACTGAAACCTTTGACAACTAAAAATGACATGAGCCCATTTGTTAGTGCATTTGGTAGAGGAATTTAGATTTACCAATATTATTACCCATTACTGTTGTGAAATCAAAAATTGGTTGAAACTGAAATTAGTGTTGGTGTTGGTATTGATGTAGTTATAAGGGAGGACCAAGAAACATATGTCTTCCTCAAATGAGTGTAGGTACAGAAGAAGCCATTGTCAGCAAATAGAAGTGTAGCCTACTCTAGCCTAGCCACACACACAAAAAAAATAAATAAAAATTGTAAGGGCAGTTGAATTTAATGAGAGACAAGGTTTGGTGTGAGATTTTAGTGGCCAGGAGTTTGATATCATCTTGTCTGAGGGACCATGTCCATGTCTATGTTTCCAAGATCTTCAATTTTTTAGTTATCTCTATGATATTATTCTAACAACACTAGGGGGCTTTATGTCGTTCCTTCTTGGTCCCTTTTTAGGACAACCAAAAGAACCTTCTTCACCCATGCAATGCAAATCCTACACGCATTTATATAGAGAGAGGGGGAGGGCATAATAGACATTTCCTTCATGAATCTTTTATTATTATTATTATTACTATTATTTTATGTTTTTCATAGTTTTATTTTTTTATTTTAGTATACATTGTTTAATTGTACAAAGTCTTAAATTTGATGATATTATAATGTAGTATAATCATTTGTGTGGCTCCTCCCTCGCCAGGCAATGGCCAATGAGTACACGAGCATGCTTATTTCTAAGTTGATTCGTATCTCTGTATTGTATATACACATATTTGCATTTCTATTTTTTCATAGTTCAATATATTATGTTTTTTTAATAATAATATTAAATTTAATACATATATATATATATTTTATTATAAATAACGTATTCAGTAATTATTCTCTACCTTAAAAATATAAAATTAAAAATAAATAAATTAATAAATTATTTTGTCACTGTCTTAAATCAATCCTTGGCATGGTTATTTCTTTAATGCCAAGATTATTTAGTTCAAAATATCATATGTAATTTACAGTCACACCACTAACTTTTCATATTTTAACTCTAGATAAGGCCATCAACTAGAATTTAACAATTTGTAATAAAATTACAATACCGTATCAAAAAGTGACAACACTTCTTTGTGTGAAGTTTGGTAAATATAAAAAAACTTATATATTTTTTTATTTTTTTATTTAATATGATAGGATACAATATAGTTAATTGTTCCGTCGTCCGCTTCTAAATGTCAAATTTACTTTTTACGTTATTATACTTAACATTATATAAAAATATTATTATATTTGTATAATTTTTTGTACAAATTTTTTCTATTAGTATTATAAGACATTAATTGAAGTATTTTTGTAATTTTTTTATAATTTGTATTACGTTTTGATATAATAATTAATATTAAAAAATTAATACGGCAAAAAATAAATGGACCTTTAGAGCCAGAAGGAGAGAGTATTTCTTATTTTGAAATATTGCATAATATAGAAAATAGACCAAAATAAAGAATATTGTAATATATATATGACAAAATGAGTATAATTTAGTAAATGGTATAATTCAACAATATACGTGTTAGGTAAAATAATGGTACGTTGTTGAATAGTTAAATTAACAAACTATATAAAAATATATTATCCTTATTATTATTATTACTATTATTAAGATTGTTATTGTCTTATCATAAAATCAAGAGAAAGAAAGAAAACAAAATGAATATGTACAAGGCCATGTTTAATTTTAGAGTCTAAAGAGTAGTAGCATTTTGGCACAAAATTAGCTTGTAATAGTCTTTATTTTTCACAACAAAAATCACGACGTTTCTTGAAGACATATTGGTGCAGAAAAAGCACCGTCGAGGTGATCTACGGTATTCCTTTTCCTCTCTCACATGGCGTCGAGACAGTGTTGTTATTTTTTTGTCGTTTCAAAATCAAACATGGACACGTAGGATAGAAGGGGAAGACGAAGAATTTTTTATTTTTTATTTTTTATTTTTTATTTTTTTTGTCTTTGGCCAGTTCGTGTGCTCTAACTGTCACACTATTGGATATGGAAAATGAATTGAAATCATAAACTTAAATGTCAATTGAAGGAGCTTATTTTAGGACTTGACATTCTGTAAATCTTTTATTTATTTATTTATTTATTGTAAAAAGAGTTATTGCCATATAAATGTAATTAATGTATATAAACAAATTTCAGCATAGTGAGTCAGTTGTCAAAAATACAGAGTTAACCATAACTATCCAAAATCTAATCTCAAAATCACACGTGTTTACTTTACTAGTGAAGTTTTGATATTGATCAGTAAAATTTTAAATTAAAATAATTGATTAGTATGATGTAAATATGTATTGACTTGATATTTTTAACTGTATTATTAGATTTTAATTTAATAAAATAAATAAAAATTAAATATTTAATTTGATATTTTATAATAAAAAAAAGAAGTTAAAACAATGCTTATTGTGGTGTCGCCTTTTGATTTGTATCATAATTTGACAACTCTTCTTTCCCCCTACTTTTAATTAAAAATACTTAAAAACACCTCTAATTCACTTCAATTTAAAAATACAACCACATAAACACGAAATACCAAAAACACCCCTGAGTCCACAACAGCCTTTACCAGACCAGACCCGTCCCCATCAATGGCCGTCATCATCATCTCCACCTCCACCTCCACCTCCACCTCCATCTTCGTGTTCTTCATCCCCACGCGCACGCGCGCTCCATTCCCTCTCTTCTCAACTCCATGCTCAGCTCCGCCCTCCTCTAACTCCACTTCCCCATCGCCTCCCACAAATCTCCCCTCATCCGCCGCCGTATGAGGATTCGCAATTTCCGAGCGGCGGCGGTGCCGCTGCTCCTCCTCCTCCTGACGGCGGCGACGGAGGCCGATCCGAACGACGAGCGGTGCCTGAGCCACCTGAGCGAGTCGCTGGAGGATCCGCTCCACAATCTCCAGAACTGGACGAAATCGGCGCTGGCGAACCCCTGCCAGGCTCAAGGATTCAACTCCGTCCTCCTCGGAATCACCTGCAACAATGGCCGAATCTTCAAGCTCTCCCTCCCCGGCCTCTCCCTGCGCGGCACCATCTCCCCCTACCTCTCCAATTGCACCAATCTCCAAACCCTAGATCTCTCCTCCAACGCCATCTCCGGCCCAATCCCCCCCGATCTACAGTACCTCGTCAACCTCGCCGTCCTCAATCTCTCCTCCAACAGACTCTCCGGCCAGATTCCGGTCCAATTAGCTCTCTGCGCCTACCTCAACGTCATCGATCTGCACCGGAACGAGCTCTCCGGCGGCGTTCCGCCGCAGCTAGGGCTGCTGGTGCGCCTCTCCGTCTTCGACGTCTCCAATAACCGGCTTTCCGGTCCGATCCCCGGGTCGCTCTCTAACCGGACCGGGAACCTTCCCCGGTTCAATGCGAGCTCGTATTTGGGGAATAAGGATCTGTACGGGCCCCCGCTAGGCCCGATGAAGAACAGGGGGCTTTCCGTACTGGCCATCGTCGGAATCGGGCTCGGCAGCGGCTTCGTCAGCCTTATCCTCAGCTTCACGGCGGTCTGCGTTTGGCTCAGAATTAACGACCGGAAAATGGCTAATGACGAAGGCAAAATCAATCAGCTCATGCCTGAGTATTGATTATTATTATTATTATTATTATTGACACAGAAAAATAATTAAAAAATTTGAAAAAAAAAGGGGTACTTTTTCTTACTATTTTACTGTTTCGGTTCAGTTTTTCTTTTTTTTTTTTGGGATAGTGGTTTTTGTGGGCAATTATTGATCCATTACAATCTAATGTGTTTTTGTATATATATTTATGTATTTTAGTGCAAGAATTATTTTTATAAATTTGAAGTTTCTGGGTTAATTATTTTCGTTTGCAATTTATTTTTATTTTTATTTTTTCACATGATTCACTTGTATTTAGGGGTAGCATATTAGGTACGCCCTTTTTTTTTTTTTCCACAAAAAAGTGCATGTTCTTGAATGATTATTTATTGACATGTGTGTGGATAAATTTAGTCAAAAGTTATGTTGAATTTTGAATATAATATTTTTTAAAAATTATATATATTATAGTAATAAGAGTGTTATTAGATAGGAGAGAAGCAACCAAAGCATAATAAATGAAATATGAGAACGGTTACTTGAGAGTGCGCACCGCACCAGTAAACCCCGATCGAATTTAAAATCCTGCAAATCAGGCTCGATGAGAAAGTCATACTAGGCAAACAAATGACCTGAGGCGTTGGGGGTTTGAATCTATGATCTTACGGTCATAAATTTAACCCCTACACCACTAGAGCATCTCTTACGGACCTACCTCCGTGTATATTCTTGATAGGTTCATCAAGGTTCAAATGTTAACTTAGAGTTTGTTGTAAGGTTTCTTCCTCATTTTTATTTACTATTCAATTAAAATATAATACTATTTATATATCTTATAAAATATTAAATTTAAATAGTATTTAAAATAAAAATTCTAAAATGTTAGTGATTGATTAATTAAAATATTAATGATATGAAACCCCATATGTTCATTTTGTCTTTAACAAAATTTACATGGCTAATTTTACTATTAAATATTAATGATTGATTAACTAAAATGCTTAAATTCACATTCAATAGTGAAGATTACCACCTTTATAAACTCAATACAAAGTTTAAATTTCAAAAAATCCCAATTTTTTTTTTTTGGGTAGTGTGTTCTTTTAATTTGAAGTTATTATTATTATTATTATTATTATTATTATTACTACTATTATACTCCTTCTCCCAATTGTCTTTTTTTTTTTTTTTTTTTTTTTCTTATTTAACTCAAAAGTATTTATTTTCTATTATAATAAAAGTGATCATACATTAAGCCTAAAATATTATTTAATTTTTACATAAATTACAAATGTATACCATTTAACATATACATAAAATACAAAGAATAAATACGTCAAAATCATCTTATACACTTCCACAGACTAATAAAATATTATTATACTTTAATCTACTAAAAAAATCTAAATGTATATTTTTGTTTGGAACTAAAGGAAGTACTACATACTATATTTTATTTAAGATATTGCATCTAATAATCATATTTTCTGAAAAAAAAAAATAATATTTATATAAAATTGTAACAAAAATAATAACAATCGGTAATAAGTGAAGCATGTCAAATATTAATGAGAAAATATAGTACATGCATTTTAAAATAAATGCAGAAAATATTGTGTTAATTAAAGTGATGTATAAAATTCTTATATTTGTGCATAAAATAGAACTTTTTGTGCACAATATTTACTAACATAATGATAAATTAAATAATAAAAACTGTACCAATATTTTATATCTTTAAATTAAATTGAATGACACATAATACACATATACAATTCACCCAGTAATTTATTATGTTGCATGAAAGTGGAATAATAGTCTGAATACCACTGGCCAAGCTTGATTGATTATTGTTTATGGTTTTCTTTATTGTGATTGATTTTTAATATTTTTTGTAACATGTAAATTTTGTCTATTATATATGATTACTCTTAATTGGGTTGAGAACGAGATTTAAGGAATATTGATATTATATTGATAGTTGGTAAAAAATATAGATAAAATATTTTTTTGCCCTTACGAGTGTATTAGTGTAAAAAATAGTAGTAATTGTGTAATAAAAATGAAATAGTAGGGGTAGTTTTACGATGATATGATTATTTATGGAAATAAGACTATTGTTTTGGGAGGGACAAAAATGATAAATAAAAATATTGTATCGAGACAGAGTGAGTAATATAGTGGGATAATGGTTGTATAATACAAATATTATTTAAACACTTTCCCTTTGATTTCCATTAATATTATGTTCAATAATGTATAGTTTTTAATATAAATATATTATTTATTTTGATAAAATATTTAAAAAGTAATAAAAATAAATATTTTAATAATATTTTCATAGTTTATAATAATTTACAAGTATTTAAAGAAAATTTGAGTTTGTTTGTGAAATAATTTTTTCAATATAATTTTTAATATATATTTTATTATTTTATAAAAAAATTAATATTCAATATAAAATAATATTTTATATTGTCAACACAACTTTTTATACTTCGGAAAAAAAAAAAAAAACTCCAAATCAAAACACTAAACAAACAAAAATAATTGTGTATAATTTTGAAGTTTTGAATACTCAGATTAATTGGGTATATGAGTATTAAATTTATATTTATCAAAGATATTTGGACTTTACTTTTTAAACATAAATAATACTCCTTCCGTATGGGTCCGTAGATATGAGAATTTAGGTAAAATGTGATTAGTAAATAATTAAGAAGAGTATTAGTAAAAATAATTATCGTATAATAAAAATAATTGTGGATTAAGATTAAGATAACTAAATAGTTTAATTATGATTAAAAAATTATAAAATTTAAAATTTAAAATGAGATTAAAGTGTATAATTATATTTTCAAAAAAGGAATGAACAAATTATGTAGGACGAAGAAAAATAGAAAATAGGGACAAATTATGTGGGACGGAGGGAGTACTATATATTGCTATATTTATAACTATGGTAAAATGGTTAATAAATCTTTAATATATTTACATTTTTATTTAACTCTCCATTATAAATTATAAAATGAAAGCACATTTGGGCTTTTGGATGTATGCCATTTTTTTATTTTTTTTTATTTTTTTATGTTAGATATGAAAAAAATGTATTTATAATACTCTATCCGTTCCACTTATCGTGTCCATATTGTCCTTTTTTTTTTGTCTCATATCTTATGTCACTTATATTTTTTGGAAAATGATTATACACTTTAATCTCATTATAAAATTTTTTATTTTATAATTTTTTAAATTTTAATTAGACTAATTAGTTATTTTAATATAAATCTATAATTATTTATAATACATTCTTAATTATTTACTAATAATTATACTTATCCTAAATTCTCGTGTCTACAGTAACCCGGATACGATACATGAGACAGAGGGAGTATAAAATTAGAATTTTTTTATATTAAATTATTAATTTTCTGTAAATAAATTATGAATATATATATATATATATTATATATTATGTTAATACGTGTATATTATATTATTTTTAATAATATTTATGTGAAATCGTTACCTAACAAATACTAAGTAAACATTATCTAAAAAAATATAAATTAAAAACTAAAGGAGGATTTGAATGGATCAGCAGACTAAATTAAGATCGAATTTAATAGCCCAACTGAAGAAATATAAATGGCCCAGAAGATACAAAAAACATAAAAAATAAAATGAAACAAGCAGTTGGAATTTTAGAAAATATTTTAAAAGACTTTCTTATGAATAAATAATTATTAATGAAATTCTTTTTTAGAATTACCTTGTATGTATTATGACTTTTGACTACTATTTCTTGATGTCTTTCTATATGATTTTTGTTTTTAATTTAATCTACTAGTTAAAAATATATGGATTTCTTAGGTTTATATTTGGGTTTGAATTTTATTTATTAATTTTTTTAATTTTGATTTAAAAATACTTAGAGATCGTATTTGTGAAAAAATAAAAAATAAAAAATAGTGATTTTTTTTAGGAGATAGTAAAATATTTGGTTTGGATGCAAATCAAACAAACCCAAATTTATATTTAAAATTTTAAAATATATAATTCATGCAAAATTTAAAATAAAATACAGAAAAAAAAAAAATAAAAATCCCAAGATCATATTTAAAGTAAAAATTGGTTGAGAGTGAGAGGATCAAAACATAATTTGGATCATTGAGTCTGGAAATATATTTCTTTCTGACCCAAATGAATTCTAAGAACAAAAATTGCTCACTAAGCCCACATTCAAAATTCAACCACTTATCAATCCATTTTGGGCCCACATATCTAATCATCTATTAATTTTATTTTATTTATTCAGAAAAAAAAAAATAAAAATGCATTTGTGGGTATATAAAAAGTTGTGATTTTTCATAATATATATATATATATATATATATAGGAGATTTTCTTTAACTCTGAAAACACAATCCTTAATTAGGCAAACAAATGAGTTTATTGAGATAATTTAATTGTGACAAGTACCCATTATTGTACATTAATGAAGTTAAGAATATTATATAATTAATAGTAAGTTGTCATCACTCCGTGTTTTTTTTTTTTTGTGATATAATTTGAATGAAATTTTTTTAATGAGATATAGAAAATTGTGTAAAAAATATTTTATCCGTATGTCTCTAACGATCACATTTAATTATCTTTTACGTAATTGTACTTAACATTAAAAATATCTTTATATTTGTACAAATATCATTCTATTAGTATTATAAGATAATAAAAGTATTTTTGTAATTTTTTCTTAATTTGTACTACGTTGGAGTAATAATTAATATTTAAATATCAACGTGCAAAAAATAAATAAGACATTTAGAGCCGAACAAGATAGTATAAAAATAATGAATATGTGTAATATATTAATATTTTTGAAAAAATACTGTATTTTTTTTTTTTTTTGGTTAAAAGAATATATACACCTGGTATATATATAATTATATATGCAAAGGTAACTCCAACTTGGGAGCACAAAGGGCCTCAAAGTTTGGTTACCAAAGCTTTAGGGCACATGAACATGACCTTTCTTGGCCTTTTGTTATTAAAATATATAGATAGCCATTCAAATAAAATTCACCAAACTCCCATTATAATTAAATTAGTTCATTATGTCCAAATGAATATTTTGTTCTTTTAGTGATTTTTTATTTGATATTATACAATTCTTATATTTTTAAAAATATATTATTATCTTACAAAATTTCACATTAAACCACTCTATAAACACAA